AGTCCGAGCTCCTGGCCCCGCCTCTTCACTGATCGCTACTAGGTCACTCTCCCTGAGCCGTGAGCTTTATCATACCTCTGCTTAAAGATATGTATGGATCTTGCCTCCACTACATCGCTTCCCAAACTATTCCACTTACTGACTACTCTGTGGCTGAAGAAATACTTCCTAACATCCCTGTGATTCATCTGTGTCTTCAGCTTCCAACTGTGTCCCCTTGTTACTGTGTCCAATCTCTGGAACATCCTGTCTTTGTCCACCTTGTCAATTCCTCTCAGTATTTTGTATGTCGTTATCATGTCCCCCCTATCTCTCCTGTCCTCCAGTGTCGTCAGGTTGATTTCCCTTAACCTCTCCTTGTAGGACATACCTCTTAGCTCTGGGACTAGTCTTGTTGCAAACCTTTGCACTTTCTCTAGTTTCTAACCAATCATGAATCAGTATGAATCTTTATATTTAGAATAACCCAATACCTGTAAACATTCCCTTTAATAAAATAAAAAATGCTCCCACATGTTTGTATAAGAAAAATATTTTTGTAAACACCACCTTTTGTAAAAGAACAAATACCATATGGAATTTAGGGAAATCAAAAAAAAAAAAAAAGTTTACTGACTTTATAAAAATTCCTGAGCATAAGTGTTGCCTCTTCCCGAGCACCTTCCAGTGATGCTAAATGGTGGTCACGAAGACAACTGGTGTGTTTTCTGCAACTGCTGGACCCTACACCAATTAGCTGCTTCAACACTAAGATGGCCATTTCCAGGGTAGCTACACGCACACGTGAATCTGCAGGTGCCACAAATGCCATTCTCTCTTAAAAAATGCAACCTAATTTGACAATATCCTAAATACCATTTGCCAACTTAAAGAAGGAAAAAATTATCAATTGTAGCATTCAAATATTATACCAAAATAAATTATGTAGAAGCATTTATAATAAACACATACAGTATATACACTTGTTGAAAATTATATCTGAATGTGTATTTAAATGAAAACTTTACAACAATTTACTCTTAAGACATAGACATGCATATACAAAAAGTTAGAAAATAGATTAAAAAAAGTTTCTCCTTCCATGACCTGCTAAATAGTCATAATTCAGAGGTACACACCAATACCAAACATGACAAGTAGAGTATCATGAAAGTAATCACACTGTCAATACTACCATTGAAAATACATCACCTACTTACTATACTGACAACTCAAAGTGATGATTTCAAGCATTTTGTCCACCAAGAGTGTGTTGTAAAGTAATTTAGTGTCTGAAGTATCTCCACTTCCCACCACCAAATCCAAAAGTTCTTGATTGATACCTATAAAAGGAAAGAGAAACCCTTATTTATAGAGATGCTAAATGCAGTTATTTAAACATTATGTAAAGATATTAACACACATCAAAATGAATATAAGAATAAATTAACACTTGAAATTATTCAAACAAGAAAAATGCTGCATTTAGTATTTTTCAAACAAGATATGTTATACTTTTTTGCTCTGTTTATTTCTAACAGGAATATATTCAACAAATGTAAAATCTATTAAAACCAAGACAGCGGAAATAATTTCACCGTTGTTAAAATACATAAAGGATGGAATCAGCTCATGCTTAAACACCAAAGCCAATGCTATAACACAGAGGGATACCTCTTAGCAGCGGAATTAATCACGATTTAATGTTACAAAATGTTAAAAGTATATTTTTAACACTTTAAAAAAAATATAATTATTTTTAGGTGTAAGATATACCACAAATCTCCTAATGATTTCATGCATTTAATAAAAGCAAGTGTGTAAATTAAACTGTGTAAAGACTACTGAGCACTGATCTGTATCACCATTATACTTGCTAGGCAACAATGTACCAAAACTTCTAAACCTTGTACCCAGTGGACTAATCAATACAGTAGTCTTGCACGAGTCAAGTCACAAGATTGGTTCCCAATACATATCCTGTGCTTTACACAGTTTGTTACTTTCATAACACTTATTGCCAAAACGTCTTTTCAAATTTCTGTATAGTACATTATTTTGAGAAAAGTATTTGTGATAGATTAAACTTATTTGCTCCCTGACAACAGCTTTATTAATGACAACTAAACTTTCCTTAATTTTTTTCTTTTTATGTAAATACTGAAACTAAATTTTGTTCTTCTATTAAAAACTGTCTAAAGACGTCACTGACCAATTTTTATTTTTTAAGTTATCTACCAAGTTTACAAACAATTTCATAAATATATCAGTGCAATCCTAGGTAGTAGGTTGGTAAACAGCAACCGCCCAGGGAGGTACTACCGTCCTGCCAAGTGAGTGTACAACAAAAACCTGTAAATGTTTTACATGATGGTAGGATTGCTGGTGTCTTTTGTCTGTCTCATAAACATACAAGATTTCAGGTATGTCTTGTTACTTCTACTTGCACTTAGGTCACACTACACATACATGTACAAGCATATATATACACACCCCTCTAGGTATTCTTCTATTTTCTTTCTAGCTCTTGTTCTTGTTTATTTCCTCTTATCTCCATGGGGAAATGGAACAGAATTCTTCCTCCGTAAGCCATGCGTGTTGTAAGAGGCGACTAAAATGCCGGAGCAAGGGGCTAGTAACCCCTTCTCCCGTATAAATTACTAAATTTAAGAGAAACTTTCGTTTTTCTTTTTGGGCCACCCCGCCTTGGTGGGATACGGCTGGTGTGTTGAAAGAAAGAAAGAAGATATCAGTGCAATAAAAAACAATTAACAAAATGACTCCCAGAGATAAAAAAAAAATACAAGTGATAATGAAAAGATGATAACATTGTACATGCAAACCTTGGCTGGCTGATAGGCAGAACATAAGGCCATAACTAGAAACCAAAGAAATGCCAAAAGGAATACTAGAAAGATTTTATTCATAGAATGGTAAAATAATGGAATGGTTTACTAAAAAATAAAGCAGTAAGTGCTACAACCCCAGGAAACTTACAATAATTACAATTACAATAATTAAATGCTGCTCTGAAGACTGTATACTACTGCTCCTTTAGCTACAAATGAGTAATCAGCAATACATAATGACGACACATACAGCCCAATTTGCAGCACTATGGTGCTATGATACTCACAAATTGGTACTGTATAAGACAAACTAAACAAGCATTATACATTCAATCACTGTAAAGATAGTGATTCCATAAATGATGGTGAACATGCTTTCTTCTTTGGGTCACCCCTGCCTTGGTGGTAGACAGCCATCGAGTTAAAAAACACTAACTATACCATTACAACAACCAATCACTGAAGCACGGAAAATAAAAAGACGAGGCTTATGAGCCTATTTCAACTTTTGACTGGATTGTGAGTCACTCCAGGAATCTTGGGAGCTATCCTTGAAGGGTTAATAAAAGTAACTGCTAACCAATAAATCAGTAGAACATCCAGTATCTATAGCATTATCTGAAGTTCTGAGGTGGTATGTGCATACATGATGAGATTGTACTATAAGAAAACACTTTGCAATGTATACAAGATGTAACTATACAGAATGGGATCTGATAAAATAACAGTTATGACCTTCGTAATACTTTTTCTGCACTACTAACCACTCAGGCAGCACAAATTAGAACAAATTGCTATACTAAATATTAATAATGAAAAAGATTAAAAGTATAAAAATACAGTAAAACCTCCCATTAACTGACCTGCATTTAACAAATTTCAGCAATTTCAGAAAAAAATGGCCAGACAAATGTTGAACGCATCAGTCATCAGTCAGTCACTAATTATGGATTCTGTCCATTAAAGTAGTGTCCGGTTGTCTTCTTAAGCATTGGACCAAGTCCAGTGACTCTGACATTTGTCCAGTATGGGCCATAACGAGCTATAGGCAACCTGCTTCGGTTTCTTGTTCGTATTTACTCATGTTTACACTCGTCAACCAGTCTCCAATCTTTCTTGGATTTACAGCGTTTTCTGTGACTTTTTTAACATATTAAAGAAAGTGCAATCAACAATGGCTTCTAAAGCAAGTGGTGGTGGTGCAAGACGAAATCCGTCATTCTCAGTGTTAGGCAGAAACTTGAACTAAGAAGAGTGAGTCTGGTGTGTCTCAGTGACATCTCAGCCATCTGAGTTTTTTTCATGAAAAATTATTTTCATAATTTGGAAGTGTCAGACAACTGGCAATTTCTTACATCTCCTTCCCCCTGTTAGTCCATTAATTAGAGGATTCACTCTACCATTAATGTAAATGACAACTGAAACAAATGTGATATTATTTCAGTAAACACTCACTCTCTCTCACACTCTCGACTCCTGCAACTACAATTAAGTGAGCACGCGCACACACGCGCACACATGCACACGCACGCACACACGCACGCACACGCGCGCACACACACACACACACGTTCCAGAGAGGGGACACAGAAACAAGGGGTCACAATTGGAAGCTGAAGACTCAGACGAGTCATAGGGATGTTAGGAAGTATTTCTTCAGTCATAGAGTCATCAGGAAGTGAAATAATATAACAAGTGGTGTAGTAGAGGCAGGAACCATACATAGCTTTAAGACAAGGTATGACAAAGCTCTGGAAGCAAAGAGAGAGAGGACCTAGTAGCGATCAGTGAAGAGGCGGGGCCAGGAGCTGTGTCTCGACCCCTGCAACCACAATCTCTCTCTCTCTCACCTCTTCACTCTCTCGCACCTCTTCACACTCTCGCACCTCTTCACACTCTCGCACCTCTTCACACTCTCGCACCTCTTCACACTCTCGCACCTCTTCACACTCTCGCACCTCTTCACACTCTCGCACCTCTTCACACTCTCGCACCTCTTCACACTCTCGCACCTCTTCACACTCTCGCACCTCTTCCACTCTCGCACCTCTTCACACTCTCGCACCTCTTCACACTCTCGCACCTCTTCACACTCTCGCACCTCTTCACACTCTCGCACACACTCACCTAGTTGCAACCGCAACTAGGCAAGTACATTCCCTCTCTCACTTTCACTCTCTTACATTCATTCATAATTCTTCTATTTAGAATTCTCTCAAATTCAGGAAATAAAATTTTGAATTTGAATTGACCTCATGTATGATACAATCTATTTTTTTTTTTAACAAACCAGCCGTATCCCACTGAGGCAGGGTAACCTAAAAAGATAAACGAAAGTATCTTTTTTTAAAACTTAGTAATTTATACAGGAGGAGGAGTTACTACAATCTAAATTATAAATGAGAAATTCTCTAATTTCTGAAAATATTATCTTGTCTTTCCAAGATATTTTCAGTAATTTTGACTTAAGCATAATCTCCAAAATTCAGAGCTTTCCAAATATTGGTAAAAAATTTCAAATGTCAATTCAGAAGTTCTCTCCAATTCAGATATTTTCTTTGAATTAATGCAAATAAAGAGCAACATAATATTTTGTGATAGGATTCAGGGAGACCAGTTAGCCAGACTTGAGTCCTGTAGGTGGGAAGTAAAGTGCCTGCAATCTGAACAAGAGGTGGGAATTTATGCTGTTTGGAGGGACATCTGAACTGTTGTATCTGCATGCCTCTGGCAAGACTGTGATAGTGTGAATGATGATGAAAGTTTCTTTTTTGGGTCACCCTACCTCATTGGGAGATGACCAGTGTATTAAATATAACTTTGTTTTACAAAGAAACATGAAACTGGCAAGTGTGTAAATAACTGGACATCCAGAAAGCAATTAACTGAGACATGACTATTACTGAGCATGCAACACAAATGCATTTCCTACCATCTTGGAAGATCACATGGTAAGGCAGTAGCAAGAAAGACACCAGAGTTAGTTGCAATCTGGGATTATTAAGATGAGCACAAGAAAATCACACTGTATCTAAAGAAACATTTTCCACCTGTAAATGGACACTGATACTGCGAGGTTAATACAAGATCTGGAACATCCAAAATATTAGCAAGAACTCAGAGAAGACAAAATAGAAGCCAAGACAAGCACCATATATTCTGGCTTCACACTCAGGTCCTTTTCAGAATCTCAAGCAGCACTGCTGAAAAACCATAGTGCCAGGCTTAAATATATAGTACTGTTCTCATCTTCTGTTTTGTAGCCTTCCTATGAGTTAGTTTGTACCTCTGGCCAGGATTTTATTACATTTGTGTTCAGGTTCAAAAAATGCCTCAGGTATGTAATTCATTGTCAACCCATAATTTAATTATTCAGTATAATGAATTTTGAATGCATGGATGAGTCGAGTCCTGTATTTATGCATTAATCATAAAAAGTCCCAGTAATTTGTAAATTATCTATTTGAGTTTGCAGGGGAGGAGAAGCAGTCTCCAACTCAACCACTGTCTTCCTACTAAACTCTACACCCATTTTTTCCTGCCAAATTCTTCCCCATTCCATTCCCCTTACCAAGTTCTTTCACCTACCCTCCATTACCAAAGTGTTGCCCCTCTCTTCTTTTTACTAAATTCTTCTCCCTTACCCCTTCTAAATTCTTTATGCTCCCCTTCCCCCCTCCCCACTAAACTATTTGTTCCTCTTTCACCAACTAAACTTTTCCCTAAAACTTTTACTGTATTCCGTTACCTTCCATGGAACCATTTCTCTTCCTATTCTTATTCCCATCCCCCCACCACTATGCTCTCCCCCACCAAACTTATTCCCTCCTTCCTCTAAATTCTTACCCCCTCCCCTCACCAAACTGTTATAACCTCCTACTACTCCTCCTCCTATTCCTCTTTTTCTTTCTCTTCCAATGCTAAGCTGACTTCTGATGATGATTCAGTATTAATATACAATTCTCCACCATTAAACTAAACACATTAGGATCGGGACCTTTCCAGAATTTATAAATGTGTGGCAAGTATTGAATCATAAAAGTTTATATTTGTAGCAAAAAACAATAATCCACTGCAAGTCTAGCTAATCTTAGAACTTCCTTTGCAAACCTCAACATAAATCCTTTTGAATATTGTACATGAAATATGCCAGGTCTGCTTTGTAATATTCAGCACCAGTATTGAGCCCACACCTGAGAAAGCACATTCTGAAGTTTGAAAATGTTCAGAAGTATACAACTAAGCTGGTTCCAGAAATGAAGCACTTAAACCTAACATAACTGGATGAGAGAAAAAGGAAGATATGAGACAAGATACTAAAGAGGATTGTTCAGAGCAGAAAAGAAAAACCAGTTCCAAATGAGAAGCAAAAGGGCGAGAAGACATCAGTGGAAGATAAAAGTCCAAACAAATCATAACACTAGGAAGTACTTCCTCAGTTTAACCACCAAGTCACAATACCCTGGCTGCAACAATTCACAACTAACAAAGTCACAATATCCTGGCTCCTACAATTCAAGGATGATAAGCAGGCAGAAAGAGCCAAGAGAGAAAGGAGAGGCGGCAAACCTCCATACACAGTTTCCAGAGTAGATATGAGAGGGTCCAGGAGGCCACAAACCAGTAATGCAGAGCCAAGAAGCGAGTCACAACCCCAATAAACACAATGAATACTCTGGAGTACTGTATAGCACTTTAATCCAGTATTTAGTTTATTTTTTCCAACAAATGCCTATGGAATATATCACTCAGCTTCTCTCCCTCCTTATCTTGTGCCTTGTCAGTTTACCAGCATGCAGATTAAGTGTAGCATAACTATCTCCAGTAGATATTTTGCCATTTTAAGTTGTAATTTCATGTAAATGATGGAAAGAAATAATATAATGTCTAGTTCCAAATTATAAATAATTTTGAATATAACCTTTTATTTCCCGTTTAAAAAATCAAAATTAAAAAAAATCCAAATTGAAAATGAAGAATTTTTGCACTTATTCATGAATTTTTTTATAATTCTTACAAACATACAGTTTCATATATTAAAAATTTTATATTCCAAATCCAAGAGAATTCTTTTCGAGAGAAATTACCATACTATTATATACTGTACTGTATACACTATGCAGCATAGATTTTCCATGTATGCAACATACAGTATTTGTTATACCTACTGAAAGATATGATGGATACACCTAAAATATGGGGATGCAAGGGATTTGCATATTTATATACAGAGGGTCCCCAACTAACAAGCGAGTTTCATTCCTGACATTAAACCTAACAAGTTTCACTCCTGGTGCTACAACTAACAAATGAGTTTCATTCCTGGTGCCCCAACCAACAAATGAGCTTCACTCCTAGTGTTCCAACTTACAAATGAGTTGTTTTGCAACTTGCAATCTATTTTCCTACAGAAAATAGCACAATGTATGTTTGTGTTTCACACACATTTGTAATTATGTACTGGTCTTCATAAATCAAATACTTTTTAAATTACAGTATTTCTCATGAACCTCACTCGTAGATGTGGAAGTTCATAACTCGTGTATTGGTATGTTGGGATTCCCCTGCACTGTATAACTAGCAAGCCACCTCTCACTGCCCAGCAGGTTGTTGGTTCATGCAAAAGAAATTATTTTCTGTGCAGAACTGGATACTCTAGGTGAAAACAATCACACTATCTTATTTCTTGCCTTGCAACTATCCCATAATCAAACTAGAAATAAAGAGGACTGTCACCTGGCTTCTTTATCAGAAAATCATTTTCTTCAAATGAGAGAACTGTTAAGCTATTTAGATTCCATTTATCTTTAGTCATATGAAACTGTATTGCATTAAAAATGTATTACAGAAAATAAAGCAAATAAAATGCAGTATCTACACATTCCATTAAATTCTTTTCATAAAAGAGTAAGATATGAAAATACATTTTTTTTTTTTTTTGCAAATGACGGCTGAACTAAAATAAGTATTTTTATACAGGTTCATGGTTGTCTAATCTGTGCAGCCTCAACATGTGCACCTCTAGTGCCCCTAACACACAAAACCGATACTCCAAGTCATTACACATTAATAGGCCAACATATCCTACAAGACTTTTCCAATGTCATCATTTATTCTAACAGAGTGGTTCAATGTCAACAACAAATATTTGAAAAGCATAACTTTTCACAAAACTCCACAAGAAGTTTAAAGGAGTGATATCAGGTGGACATGTGGAGCCATTTGATAGGGTCATCATGCCCAATTCATTTGCCAGGGAACATCATGATACAATAACTATGCTATCATATGCACAGAACTGTATTTACATATTTTTTTAACCATTTCTGAAACAGGAAAGGGTTTTGTGAACAGCCTATAAAATACAGTGGACCCCCGCTTTACAATCAGCTCCCAATGTGACCAATTATGTAAGTGTATTATGTAAGTGCATTTGTACGTGTATGTTTGGGGGTCTGACATGGACTAATCTAATTCACAATATTCCTTATGGGAACAAATTCGTTCAGTAATGGCACCTGAACATACTTCTGGAATGAAATAATATCGTAAGCCGGGGGTCCACTGTATATTATTAACAGCTCTCTTAACCTGAAACTGAAACTTTTTTTTTTTTTTTTTAACTTTTTTTGGTTCACATGTAAAGACAGTTATGTTAATAGACTACTATGACTTACTAATTCCCATGAATCTATACATATAAATAGTTCCTTTACCTTGATTATGACCGAGTGCATACAGGAGGCACAATGCAAACAGAGACGCATAGTCATTTTCCGAGCAGTCCAAAGATGCAATAGTTGATTGAAGAAATGGCCGGGAAGCGAGTGAGCGTTCTGTTATCCCAACATCAACCATATTTCCTCTGTCAAAGGGAAATATATACTGTATATTTATAGCACAAACTCACACAGAAAATAATACAGAAAGTAAAAGTACTATATATTTTGGACATCCCAATAAAAATTAGTCATACTGCATACTTTCTGGGTTATCTTGGGTTTTAACACACACATTACCCATTCTAGGGAAAATAATTCAAATAGTTTTCTTCTATCCTTTCTCCCACATCTCTCTTCCAATATTCCAGATAATAACTTACTTGCAAATTGAAACAAAGGAATCCAACTTGTGCACAAGTTGGAGACCCCTGGCACATATATATTTTATTATCTTTGAAAATATGCATATTACTTGAAAAAAAAATCATTTAATTCACAGCCATGTCTCTGTTGTAGATTTTGAGCCATAATTAAATGCATTCCACTGTTTTACATTCCAGCCATTTCCTACCAAGGTAGGGTGATAAAGGAAAAAAACTTTCATTACCACTCGTTCAATCACTGTCTTGCCAGAAGGGCCCCAACATCACAGTTCAGAGGGCTTAGACATCTAACAGGTTTGTTGGATTTTATTAGTGTAAAATTTACTTTGTTTATCTTATATTAACCCTTTGAGGGTCGACAGGCCCTCTCTGAAACTCGTTCTCAGGGTCGGCCAAATTTCAAAAAAAAAAAAAATTATTTTTTCTTATGAAAAAATAGAGTTTTTTTTTCTAAACATTATAGGATAAACAAAAAAAATTTACCATCAATACTTACGGAGATATGGATGCATGAAGTTTGCAGAAAATGAGCCGCGTATGGCAACAGCGGCGACTGCCGCTCACCCGGTAAACTTTAGTTTACTTGTATTTGAAGGTTTGTTGTTTTTTTCACTATTTTATTTTTTCACATAACTTATGTGGCCTGTGAGACCAAAGTAAGGTGCAATGTACATATATACACTCGTTGTATACAACACAATAAGCACACAAACATAATTATCAATATATTGTTTACAAAACTTGTTTACAAAAACAAACAATACAAAACATTGTTTATTATTATTGTTCTATAATATATATACCAATATACAGTCACTGAACATATTCCTATTAGTTCTGCAGCTTGTGGAACTCTGAAACATGGTGTCATACACAATGGTGTTTTATCTTTCTCCCTCATTCTATCTCTTTCAATCTGTCTCTCTCTTTCTATCTGTCTATCTATCTCTGTCTCATAGGTACACATAAATACAAGTATACATAGTATAAATTACCTAGGATAACCCAAGAAATCCAGACAAAGTGCTATACTCTGCTTGAAGATGTGAGTAAAAATGATGACACAGTCTTGTGGCTCTCTGAGACAGAGAGCTAGACGGATAGACAGATAGACAGGGAGCTTGACAGACAGACAAATAGACAGACAGAAATGTTAGTGTACCAGTACAGTGTACTAGTGTTCCACCCTCCTCCTCCTCTTCTTCCTCTTCCTCCTCTTCCCCCTACTCTTCCTCATACTCTTCCTCTTCCTCCTCTTCCTCTTCCTCCTACTCTTCCTCTTCCTCCTCCTCCTCTTCTCCTCCTCCTCCTTCTTCCTCTTCCTCCTACTCTTCCTCCTCCTCCTCTTCTTCCTCTTCCTCCTCTTCCCCCTAATCTTCCTCGTACTATTCCTCTTCCTCCTCCTCTTCCTCTTATTCCTCTTCCTCCTACTCTTCCTCTTCCTTCTCCTCCTCTTCCTCCTCCTCCTCTTCCTCCTCCTCCTCTTCCTCTTCTTCCTCTTCCCCCTACTCCTTCTCCTCCTTGTCCATAGTGTAAATTACAAGGAGTCCGCAGCTGTCAAAGTGACATATTGGCTCATTACTCTTTCCCCCTCGGCCTGTCAAAACAATGGGGGTCCGATGCTGCTTCCCCTCCTCCATTCTATCTAATTATCTTTCTCCCTCATTCTATCTGTCTGTCTATCTCTGTCTCACAGGTACACATAAATACAAGAATACATGGTATAAATTACCTAGGATAACCCAAGAAACCCAGACAAAGTGCTATACTCTGCTTGAAGATGTGAGTAAAAGTGATGACGCAGTCTTGTGGCTCTCTGAGACAGAGAGCTAGATGGATAGACAGGGAGCTTGACAGACAGGCAAATAGACAGACAGAAATGTTAGTATACCAGCAAAAACAAAGGGAGGGCGATGTTCATCTCATCTTTTTGGCATCAGCTCTACCCTCATTTACCCTCATCAAACGTCAGCACTTATCAGATGTTATCTCCCCTTATCTTGTTACTGTCATGGGTGAACATTTATTATTACATATTATTATTATTACCTATTATTATTATGTATTATTATTATTATTATTATTATTATTATTATGTATTATTATTATTATGTATTATTATTATGTATTATTGTTATCATTACGTATTCTTCTTCTTCCTCCTCCTCCTCCTCCTCCTCTTGCCTCCTCCTCCTCTTGCCTCCTCCTCCTCTTGCCTCCTCCTCCTCTTGCCTCCTCCTCCTCTGCCTCCTCCTCCTCCTCCATTCTTGGAACAAGTTTGAAGATCTTGTAGTTCATAATCACTATCATTATCATCACCAATGCTCACATCTGAGTCTGGGATTTTGGGAAATAGGAGTTTCCTCTTTGATTCTGGTACAACTGAACGACGGGCCAGCACCAGAGGTGGAAGGCTGTGGGTTGTCTGGGTTTTCCTCACTATTACCCATATTATGGTCATTAGTTTCGGTCAAAACCTCACCAGAACCTTGAAACTCATCTTCACTGTCACTTCCATCTGTATTAGAACTGTCACTGGGGAACAAAAGTGTCCCAATTCGCCGAGGAGTGAGGAACTTCTTACCACAGGGCACGGTGGAAATTGTGTACTATGATGGCATTCCCACAATGCACCACTGGGTCCCAGATTTTTTTCCTACTGCGCACACCCACCACACAGACCCATTCTCTCACATCTAGGCTTATCAGCCTTTTCCTGTGAGATTTGAGGCCGCTAGAATTTATGCGTACTAGTACGACAAAAACCCCTACACGTAAGACGTACTAGTACGACGAAAACCCTCAAAGGGTTAATAACTGTTTACCATCCCACACATCATAAGCCTTCCTTTTGTTGTTATTATTCAATCTTCTGGATATTTCAGTCCTTGCATTTCTTCCTAGTGTATTCTCAGTCCTTGCATTTCTTCTTATTGTATCCTTTCATCCTAGACAAATATTTACATAATGAACAGTCTCTGATTTCCTAATTGATTAATTCTTCTCTTTTTTTTTTTTGACTTAAAATTCGCATACAGTACTGTGGCTTCATTTTTCGCTTACTACAGTCACTGAAGGATAGGAATGATACTACATATCAGAGGGTCATTTGAACTAAGATGTTCATGCACTTTTGGAAAGTCAGCTTGAGAATGAGTGTTGGTGAATGTTATCCTTCTTTAAGTCACACTTACTATCATTCATTTAATCACTGTCTTACCACAAGAACTCTAGCATCATATAACATATTACAATAATAAATTAATCAGGAATGTGATTTGTACCCTAAGTGATCTGAAGCTCTGAGCTGCTCCTTCTCTTCATCAGTGATGTTAACATGGGTGGCTTCCAAGTCAGAAATGCCAATGCTTGCCATTATATCTGCAGCAGGAGTTGATACCCGCAACTCTGAAACATAATAAGAGAACATTTCATAGTGTCAAGTAAGAAAACTAACACTGTATGTGACAAACAGTAATGTGAAGATAGAAAATGATTAATGCAAAATGCCCTAAAAGTCATTGCTAGTCTTACAGGATATTATAGAATATGTTATTTGCTAATTTATCCTTTTGTTATTTCATGTTATACATTATCAAAATTATACCACTTTTGGAAACTATATCCAACATAATTTGGGCAGTACAATTTACCTTGACAGAGCACAGCCTCCTCAGCCTCCTGGTCCAAGGATGACCTACCACTACTAATGCCACCCTTGCTACTACTGGCATCCCCTCTTGATAAGCTGTTACTCGGACTGTGTGAAGAACTACTCCCTGAACCACTTGATGTTTTTGCTTGCAAGGACTTCTCAAGGGGCTCCTCAGGCGCAACAAAGCCTCTACGCACCAGGCGCTGCCCCTGAAATACCTCAAAAAACTAATTTATATCCTAATAAGATGACTTGGAGGGTGTATAAATCTGTAGTGGAGGGAAGGCAAGGTAGAGGTCGTCCTAGGAAAGGTTGGAGATGGGGGTAAAGGAAGTTTTGCGTGCAAGGGGGTTTGGACATACAGCAGGTATATGTGTAAGTTTATTCAGGTACAGTATAGATAAATACAGTTACAATGTATATAAATTTTAATATATAGTATCATAAGTGTAGATTACCTAGGATAACCCAAGAAAGTCACACAAAGTGACTTATTTCCATTGGGGTCCTTACTTATTCCACTGTGAGCATGTTAGATAGGAGTGAGTGGAGAAGTGATTTTTGGGACTTGATGAGCAGTTGGAGTGTGAGAAAGGTAATATTTTGTAAAGGGATTCAAGAAAACCAGTTAGCCAGACATGAGTCCTGAAGATGGGAAGTACAGTGCCTGCAATCTAAAGGAAGGGTTTGGGATATATGCTGTTTAGAAGGGCATCTAAACTGTCATATCTGCATGCCTCTGGCAAGACAGTGATAGTGTAAATGATGATGAAAGTGTTTCTTTTTCAGGTCAAAAAAACTAAACCCATATAGATTACTTAGTGCTGTATTATATCTTGAAATATTAGTTTTAATTTGTTATTTCATATACTATAAACAACCACAAGAGAGCAAAAGGAAATATTTAAATTGTCTAAAGAAGTATAATAACAGGAAGTTCTTGCTTGTAAGTTCAGTTGAATTTAGACATGAATTAAAAGCATTACACTGAATGTTACACAATTTACCTTGGGCTTTTAACCCATGAGAAAATGTAAAATTTCAAATTATAGTGTACAAAAACTGAACCTCTATGTTTTGAAATTGTGTACAAGAAAGTCATTCACTTGGGTACACAAATGATCAAGTATTGGCATAATATTCGTCATTCTTGTTAATTTTAAAAACTTAAAATATGATAATTATTTGGGTATAATATAACTAAGCCTTTAGTGCAATTCTGTTTTTTTTTTTTTTAAACACGCTGGCCATCTTCTACCTAATGCAAAATCCTAATTTTTTTTTAACATGTTGGCCAACCTCTCACCAAGGCAGATGATCCAAAAAAGAAACACTTTCACCATCATTCAACACTTTTGCCATCATTCACACAATATCATTGTCTTTGCAGAGGTACCCAGATATGACAGCATAGATATTACTCCAAACAGCCAATATCCCAAACCACTCCTTTAAAGTGCAGGCACTGTACTTCCTGCCTCCAGAACTCAAGTCCAGCTAACTGGTTTCCCTGAATCCCTTAACAAAATATTACCCTACTTACACTCCAACAGCTCATCAGGTCCCAAAAACCATTTGTCTCCATTCACTCCTATCTAACAGGCTCACACATGCCTGCCGCACATCTCTACACAAATTCAAGGAGTTAAAATTGGAGAACAGTTTTTGGGTACAGACAGTTAGGCCTATATCCAGCAATATATAGAAAATGGCATATATGCAGACAATTTTTTAAAGCATGGCCACAGGAAAGATTTATATCAAATATCTGTTTGGAGTGACATCTAAACTGTCATATCTGGGTGCCTCTGGATGAAAGTGTTGAATGATGGTGAAAGTATTTCATTTCTTTTTTGGGTAACCCTGCCTTGGTGGGAGATGGCCGTCATGTTGAAAAAAAAAATCTGTAGTATTGATTTAAGGATCTTTAAAATTCTTATGCCCATTCCTCATCTTAATGAAGAGAAAGATATTGCTAAAGTCAAATTATGGTTACTTTCATAGAGAAATACACACACTGGTATGCTACAATGCCATAAGTTTAACCCTTTCAGGGTCCAAGGCCCAAATCTGGAGTCACGCACCAGTGTCCAAGAATTTTCATAAAAAATTTTTTTTATTTTTTCTTATGAAATCGTAGAGAATCTTTTTGTGAAGGTAATAAAACAAAAAGTATGAAATTTGGTGGAAAATTGACAAAATTATGCTCTCGCGAATTTTGATGTGTCAGCGATATTTACGAATCGGTGATTTTGCCAACTTTGACTCCCATTTTAGGCCAATTACATTATTCCAATCAACCAAATTCTTAGCTATTTCACTAGTATTACTTCTATTCTATCGATTGAGCACAAGAAATCGCCAAGTCAACTGTTTCAACTACAAAATAAAGTGATCGGAAATTGTTAATTTGGCCAATTTAACACAAAGTTCAAAATATTCCAATTTCAAAATAGGGTCCAGAATGAACAATGTAGGCATTCCTGGCACTAAACTAACATTTCCTCAGTTCATTAGTTATGTTTTGAGGCTTTACAAATAAATTCCATTTTGATTTTTTATTCACATAATGAATTTTTATTCACACCAAAAAATAGAAGATTTACTGTTATGCAATACTGTAATAATTGTATAAATATCATCACCATATTTGTGAATGTATATTAGACCCACCAGCTGGTGTGTATTAGACATGTGAGGTCGTTTGTTTACTCTTGAATATCGGCAAAAATTTAACATTTCTGCTACTTTGAGCTCAGTTTCAAGCCATTTCCAGTGCTAAAACAAATCAAAATCATCTCTATTTCTGTAATATGTCTTCCATTCTATCAAATGAGACCAAGAAATCGCAAATACACCTATAAAAAACATACGAAAAAACACTGCAAAGTTGCTGTTTTAATCGAAAAATCATGATTTCATTTTTTTTCTCTCATTATACACAGTGTGCTACAGGATCTATTTTATGTGGTGCACACATACCACATAGATGTATTCTCTCATATCTAGGCCCAAATGTGCCACTCACAGTTTAACAGAGTGAGCTGAGCTCATGGCGTAGATCTACGGTTTGGACCCTGAACGTAAAGCCGTAGATCTACGGGACGGACCCTGAAAGGGTTAAAAGCACTTGAACATACTGCCTATTTCAAATTTTTATTTATCTACCAGCCTTACTTAATCAATTTTGAAACAGGAGTGATAATGGGTCAGTAACTCTCAAAATTAAGCTACCATTTCCAGTTCACTTAACACTATAACCTAACTCAACCTCATGTTTCATGTTACCTGTACCACATTTGTATATTTTTTTCCAGGATTTTGACTATCTCAGTACCCCTTTAAATAGTTAGTGTCTAATTCTAGGAAATGGAGAAGGAAGTTACCTGTAAAATAATTGTGTCTTCAGAAAATATAGAGTTGTCTGCATGGAAAATTATTTTTGCAAGTGCTCTGACTAGCGGGGCATGAGACACAATAAGAAACACTTGAGCCAGCAAGAACAGCGAGACAACACTGCTTACTCTCGGTCGATCATCCTGAAAAACATTCAACTTGGAATACTATGCTCTGAAACATGAAATGTAGTTTTTTCGACTTGGTTAGATTACCCAAATTCATAAACATGCAAGCATTAATTCACATATTATTATTACAATCATAACTAAGCACCAAATTTAATTCACATAGCTTGTCTGTAAAAACAGGAGATACTAATCCAATATCAAAACAAACTATACGAGTGCTGAGGGCAATTAAAAAACAATGACACGTTAAATTATTATTATGTATATTCAAGGGGACACACTCAACCTGTGGGGGTAATACAGTGCATAAAGAACGGGAGGTACTGGTAATTAAGTTTGATCCAAGGAAGAGGAAGATCATTAGTCCTTCAGTAGCATCAACACACTCTGTTGGAAGGAGATATAGTGAAAGTGGACTCCATACAAGGGTTCAAAGATAGATATGACACATGACACTTCAGACAGTCAAAAGGGTAACAGTGGGATCAAGAATTACAAGTTGTCTTCCTCCCCCTGTACTCAGATACATACAAATACAAAACAAATATAAATTTTATTTCTAAAAACACAAGGTGTTCATAGAGTTTTGGGATTATATTTTACATAGTGCAATGTCTTCGAAAAGCTCTGCTATGCAAAGCATTTGGGGTAGACTAATACCAGTACTTACAACTACTTAATATTAACTAGTACAGGTTTGGAGATCATTATTAAATGGAATAGTAATTTTAGGTGACAAGTTGGCATATGCAATTTCTGCATTTAGGCCCAGTAGTTATGATTAAAGCAATGAGGTAAAAATTTACTAAGCTAGTGTTAAAAATATATTAGACAAAAACCATTTATGATCATTACATACAGTATAAAATATTATATCCAATCAAACCAAATTTTTATTTCCAAGAATTACAGGGTGTTGATTCAGTTCCAAGATTATGAAGTATAGTGCAGTAAGCCCATGATTTAATGGACTTCATATACAGAACAAAATTTACTGGGAACAGGACAAAATCCACTGGTTACAAAATTGGCCATTACTGTTACAATCACAGGATTATAACATATAATTCCAGCTTTGTTTGATATTTCAACATGGTTAATTTCTTCACATAGCAAAGTGGTTGAGAACACAATGGGGAAATAGCAATCAAGTTAGTGGTATCAGATACAACTGACACAGATAAAAATGACAGAGGTATGTAAACATTGTCTAGTTATCTGTCCTGAGGCAACTAGTTGTATGAAATATGTTTACATACAGCATAAAACAAAAATGACAATTGTGGAATCAACTCACCTTGTCCTGAGAAGGATTGAGAGAGTACACCAGTAGTGGAACAAGCAACCTGTTCAGCAGGTGATCAGCTAGTACAGCATTAAGAGTCTTTATGTCCAACTTAAGTATGTCATTCAGATAGTGGAGATGGTCTAGGTGCTCTGCAACTAAGTCTGCAAGACGGCTTCGACTGTTGTGACTGCAATGATCAAAGTATTCCACATGTGAACTTGGTCATACATGTTCAGTATCATTATAATTACTATGCATTAGAACTAAATTAATATCTAACCTCAGTCTCTCTACCGTGGGACGCCTTTATGTAAAAAGATCGTGCTGATGAGGTTAAGCATTGATGGAGACATATTGGTGTCTGATGTTAGGGTACAATTTAAGATATGCAAATTGACACCATAATGTTCAAGTTTAAGGTGCAGGATGTTGTGGTCCATGTTATTAAAAGCTTTCCTAAAGTTTATAAAGAAGCCTATTCTCAAGAGCTTCACAAAAGTCAAGCATTTTTAGAATTGCATCATTTGTGCTTTATCTGGCCTGAGACCAAACTGGCAAAGGTTGAGTATACTGACTGATGCTAGAAATGAGTATAATCTCTTGTGAAGGTGGTCGTTTCCTCTTGAAAACCTCACAATAATAGTAACGAACATGATAACAACATCGAAGCATCTTCTCCAAAGTGTGCATTATTTGTAAATTGTTCCAACCATGATGCTGTGACTTTTTGTCCTTCTTTGAAAGCTTCTTTTGATTAGTAATGAGTTGCCTACATGCTAGGCAAACAATGTTAAGAGCTAGGCAACCAGTTTTACTTAGATTTCAGAAACAGGCAACAGACTCAGATCTCATTAGGCAGCTATATTAATTGAAATTAACCTTTATGTACACAAATATGCTCTGAATGACCCATACAGGTTTTGCACCTGCTTTTAATATAATATAAAGCTCACCTTCTGTTTGACATGTACCATAAACTTTACATCGCACATGTTTAGGCTGGATGGTGGTGGTAAGGAAAAACTGCCACACCTCTCAAAGCAAGTAATTATACTTTAATTTCTAATTTCATATTTTCTGCTCAGGGTTTTCAGAGAAATCTAGACAACCACCTCCTTCAAATACATGATCAACTGGGTTGTGATGGATATGTGGGGCAGATGGCAGCTAGCATAAAAAATCTGACTGAAAGACTGCTTTCAGAAAGGGTTATATCACAAAACTGGCACCGGTGTCATTACATTTTTATAATACAAATCCCCTTTACAACAATCTTGTAAGATAAACCTTTAACTGCCATCCCTTTTTTTGTTTTAACTGTCTTTTCATTGCAATAAATCCATTAATATCAACGTAACTTTTTCTGTCATTAAAATATTCTAAAGTAATTTTGAATCTTTTAACTCATAATTACTTATATCTAGAGAAAAAACAAACACAAAATACTATTAATAAACATTCAATTTACACCTAATTATCTATATTTAATATTTTACCCTCCTCACTTGCCACACTTTACCCTAAATTAAATATACAAATTCAATGAATTTGTACCTTTCATTTTACTTAATAGGGCATCAAATTGTAGTGTACTTTATGATCTTTTTTTTTATCTTTACAAAGGTTCAAATATTGACACAGCAACTCATGGTATCTCATATACAGCATGAAGAACAAAGTTTTCATGCTTCATACATGAATGCACATGCCATAATGAGTGCAGTATTTTGAAGGACACTGTTAAGCAACTAACACTAGTAAGAAAACTTTCTACCATCAATAACAAGACAATTCTACTTACTCAACATCACTTCGTACACAATTTTCTAGTTCTAGTATGTGGTTGCCTATAAACCAAACGAGGTTAGAGAAATAAGGAGCTGCAGTTCGATCACGGATAAACTGGAGCATGGATTGATCATTGACCCGGTATACATTAAGAGTTAGCGTTCGAACAGCTATCCGCACCATACTTTCTGGATGATTAAAAAACTTGATTGCTTCTGTATAGAGTGGGAAGTCATTTGTGTGCTGCAAAGATTAAGAACAATTATATATGTATATACCAAATACAGAACTTGCTAAAATGCTGTATGCTTTACATTCATTACAAAATGCTTAGAAATGCCATTCATCATTTTATAAAGGAACAAAGATATGACCACAACTCAAGACTGCATTAGAAAAACTATGTGAATTATGCACTGTAAAGTACATGATGAGAAAGAATATCTCAAACAAGCCCACAAGTATCAAATAAATAGAATACTGCAGAGTATGATCTAATGAGAGGTCCTTTTCAGCATCTGTGGTAGACCAGAATAGACATAAATCTTATCTTTCCTCTCTGTGGGTTTGTTTGAGCTATTACACTAACTTTATGGTATGCTTCAGTATACAATACTAAATAATTACTATAAAATTAATAACAGTACCTCATTATAGAAAAAGTGAATTGTATGGACATTGAGCTTTAGTGATAAGGTCTTGAGGAAGGATATGTAGTAGGCCATGACCTCTTCATCACTGAAGTCAAACTTGTGGACGATAATAGAGTTTACGTGGTTATTGGACAGCAGGTAATCTGTTGAATGAATATACAGTAATGTATACCTACAGTGTGTAAGAATGCATAGAGCACAGTATTACTTCTTTAAAACTGAAAAATGTTTTCAACAAATTTAATTATTTATATTTATATGAAATTTATCAGTTGTCAAATCCATGGAAATTTCGTCAGCTGTACTATATAGATAATGTACGTCAGTCAACTATGGTTGTAACAAATCCCAGCTAACTCACAAACTGAAGATGCAACCAACCATATACAGTGGATTAATTGTGAATGAGTAGAATTAAGTAAATTATAATGAATATAAAAAATTACATTATCGATCATGAATGAAAAATAAATAGCACAAAAAATACATTATCGATCATGAATGAAAAATAATAAATAACACAAAAATTATAATTTATGCATTCATAATTTGTGAATTAACTTTCTCTCATAAAATGTTACTTACATAGTGAAGTTTCATTGCGTATGTTTTCAAAGAGGATATTGAGTGTCTGAAGCAGCTGAACACATACATAGCTTCCACATTTCTGCTTCATGATGCGAAGAAAGAAAGATAACATATTCTTCTCCAAGAAGAAACTGTTGGGAAAAATATTTCAAAGAAGGTTTCATTATGTCATTGTGTTCATCACATCTTTTTTTTATAATAAAATAATTTTCCCTGGAAGAACCTACAGTATATAGGGCAGCAGTGCAGGTGAACAGAGCAGGTAAGAGTGAGGTGACCCTTTGACTCAGGTCATACAGTCAGATGATAAGGCGGACCAGAGGTTTGGATGAGTCAAAAGCTACCCATACTGTGCAACTGTATTAATTAGGGCTTATTCTAAGCACTGCTATTTCTAGTTATCTTACTGCTAATGAGTCTCTTACTTTAACATTCTTTAAAATTTAAGGTACTGATTAACCAAACACTGTAGCTCTAGTAAACTCAACTATCACGTTATATGAGAGTTTACTATATTTAGATGAGAACTGCACTAAGAGAAAGACATTAGTGCGACTTACTCAAATACTGATGAATCATTCTGGTCACCCCAGATGAGTATTTCAGCAATGGCACGGAGGTTCTCCACCAGAAGGCCGCGGTTACTTTCCTGCACAACCTGGTTCTTACTGAGCACATTGTACAGGTACCTGAAAAAATTTCAATTTCATTTTTTATCTTTAATTATAAACATCTGCCTCTGAACAGAAGACTTAAAAAACATTACATTTGGATAATTCACTTTCATTTATAGTACTGTATTTTGTATGAGAAAATGAAAAAACAAGAGAAAGACCCCCATAAAAGTTCTGAGATCCCTACAAGAACCCTGGTAATTATAAAAAAACTGACAAAAGTGGAAAGCTCCAAGCCATGGACACACTGTTAAAATATATCCCACAGTCAGTCAGCTGCACACCACAAAAATAATAAATGTAGCTTAGGTCCAAAGGGTCTTATGGTCATTTTTTCCAGGATGCCACCCACAAGAGTGGGCTAACACCCGGGTACCTAATTACTGCTAGGGAAATGGAAGCAACAAGTGCAAGGAACCATGCCTAATGTTTCCCCACCCCAGGATCAAACTCAGATCCTTCAGTTGTGAACATTTACAATTAAACTTTTACCACATTAAAATTCAAAATTAACTACAAAATGGTTGGTTGCTTGTAATTACATAATTTCAACAATTTTAGGCATCATTAGGTGAATAATTTGATAAATTAATGAAATTCCTTGAAAATTATTATTTCATGGGGAATACTAAACACATAGGGGGTAACACTATTTTTTTTTAATTGGGGGGAAGCATTAAACCCACAGGAATCACATAGCACCTCAGGAATGGGAGGTATTTAGGTTCAATCCAAGGAAGGGGATGATAACATAAGAATGAAGGAATATTGTAGTAGGCCTGCTGGCCCATATTAGAAAGGTCCAATTTACATCCACCCACACTCACTCGTGTACCCATCCAACCTATATTAAAGATACCAATAGTTTTGCTTCAATAACACTACCTGGGAGTTTGCTTCATTCATCTACAACTCTATGGCCAAATCAGTACCTCCCAATATCCATTCTAAATCTAAATTTCTCTAACTTAAATTCAATGCTGTAATTTTTGTCTTGGTTAAATATTTTCTTACTTCAGTTTTCCATTTGTACAATTTAATCATATCTCCCCTAATTCTACATCTTTCCAAAGAGTGCAAGTTCAATGCCTTCTGCCTATTTTGGCAGGAAAAGTTCCTAACACATGGAAACAAGGTATAAAGACACCTCCCTTGAGCAATAGGCAGTCAGACAGCACTTGAGGAATGTGAAACAATCTGGTTTGATGCAGGGAAGAGAAGAACAGAGCCAATTCCTTGGATTAAAGGCATCTCAGCAGCATCAAGGAACTTTAATACTAACACAGTTACACAATGCAAAACAGCTTCAAACACCTTTATATATCCACATCATTAAACTAATTTATAAGATATTCTATTATACTGACTCAGATGGGTATTATATATATATATATATATATATATATATATATATATATATATATATATATATATATATATATATATATATATATATATATATATATATATATATATATATATAATATATATATTTCTCTATCTCTCTATCTATTTTTCTATCCTTCTCTATGTATTTCTTTATCTATTTCTCTACCTCTAACTACTCTATCTCTATCAATCTATCTACTTACTTATTTATTTATATCTATCTATATATCAATATGTATGTATATATACATATTTATTGGTAGAGTGAAAAATGGCCTGAGAGATATGAATGAAAGGAGCGCATCAATAATGAAGTCTGACCTGAGATGTTCCAGTGAGTGAGGGTTCTTGGTCTTCCATAAACCTCCTCCAAACCACCCCCGGCCCTTCAGCATGATTTAACCTTCAGAGGGAGCCCATAGTGTCAGTAAGAGCAGCGAGGAGTGTGTGTGTGTGTGGCAGGAGGGCCAGCACAGCTGACAGATTATTGTCAACAAACAATACCTTCCCCCCACAACATCATATTCGCCTCTTGATTGGTCACTGGGAAAGCTGGCTCTTTATTGGCTAACTCCCTGGAAAATCCTCTCGACTGGTTGGCTGCCCTGTAAGCTCGTCGCTGATTTGCCGGTTTAGTAGCGCTGATTTTGAAAGACATGTATGGGGCATGTTTGGTTTATGGTTGAAACTAGTCCAACCTGTCTGTGGCACAGAGAATAAGTAGGTTTATTTAGCCACAAAAAACACATAATTACAATTATCATACATAGTGTAAATTACCTAAGATAACCCCCCCCCAAAAAAAAAAAAGTCAGACAACCCCAGAAAGTCAAATAACCTAAAAATTCAGACAAAGGATACGAATATCTGGATGGAAATCAAAGTTGTTAAGGATTGCTACTGTAGAATGTTGAATCCCTTCCTTAGGTGAATCCTGGCGAAGTCTGGTACAGCCAGAGTAAAGCCTTGGGTGTTAATGGACTGGTGTGGGTCAAGCCTGTGGACAAAATGACCTAATTTGCCAGAAATACTTTGCATAACCAAGGGTTTTCTATATAGTAGGAAGTCATTGATGTCAGCTAGCCCTGTATACCTTGTACATGTACTTGTAGAAATAAAGATTATTATTATAAGTGTTCAACTGCATCATCCTGCATGGGTACAAAGGGCAGCTGAGGCTCTCCACCAGGTGAGAGATGTGCCGCCAGCCTGGTATGTCCAACATGGCATCATCAGTAGACGATCTTCAGCACCAGTCCAAGGACAGTGTTCATTGTAATGACGAATGAGGCCTAGCTGAGTGGATCTGAGGGCTGGTGCCCAGTCTGACAGACAGGGTTGATAACAGGTACCCCCTATCACTGGAGTCAATTAATTTATATCCGACATAAAGTTTCTCAGCCCCTGCTAGGTATGAGTAATGTTTACAGGCCGATCATGCTAGGCAAATCCAACTCGCACCCACCTCTCATATACCCGTCCAACCTATATTTAAACTTACCCAAAGTTCTTGCCTCAGTGACGCTATTTATAACTTTATTGCATTCCTGGAGTTTACCTGGAGAGAGTTCCGGGGGTCAACGCCCCCGCGGCGCGGTCTGTGACCAGGCCTCCTGGTGGATCAGAGCCTGATCAACCAGGCTGTTGCTGCTGGCTGCACTTCATCAACAACTCTATTGTCAAGTCATTACTTTTCCCTATCTCCATTCTAAATCCAAATTTCCCCAACTTGAATACATTGCTGTGAGTCCTGTCAAAGTTAGATAGTACTTTGAACACGCTATTTATATATTTATTTATTCCTGTTTTTCATTTGTACACTTCTACGTCTTTTCTGGATGTAAGTTACTTGCCTTCAGCCTGTTTTCATATAGAAAGATTTGTAATACATGGAATCAACTTTGTCATCCTTTTTAGTATATTGTCAAACACATTTATGTCCATCTTGTAACGTGAAGAGCAGAACTGAGCAACATAATCTAAATGAGGCCTTACCAAAGCTTTATAAAGGAAAAATATAATTATATTATAGCCTTATAACTTATTATTATCTCTGAGAGACAGAGCTTATCGCGGTTTCGACAGAGGTCGACCTACAAACCTTAATTAGTTTAATATCTTCATTATGAACCCCATAAGCATCCTGTGGGTGGTAGTCAAAACAAGTTACAATTGTAATTTGCATGTTTATCTCTGGTTACACTCGTAATGAGTTATTTATGCAGACATGAATTAAATCACACACACACACACACACACACACACCACCACACACACACACACACACACACACACACACATCAGGTAGGACTACAAAGAGAAATGGACAGGCTGGACACCTGGTCCAGCAACTGGCTTCTTGAATTTAATCCCGCCAAATGCAAAGTCATGAAGATCGGGGAAGGGCAAAGAAGACCGCAGACAGAGTATAGTCTAGGTGGCCACAGGCAGCAAACCTCAATCAAGGAGAAAGATCTTGGGGTGAGTATAATACCGAGCACATCTCCGGAAGCACACATTAACCAGATAACTGCTGCAGCATATGGGCGCCTGGCAAACCTGAGAACAGCGTTCCGGTACCTCAGTAAGGATCGTTCAAGACTCTGTACACCGTGTACGTCAGGCCCATACTTGAGTACGCAGCACCAGTTTGGAACCCACACCTGGTCAAACATGTCAAGAAATTAGAGAAAGTGAAAAGGTTTGCAACAAGGCTGGTTCCAGAGCTAAGTGGAATGTCCTTTGAAGAAACGTTAAGGGAAATCGGTCTGACGACACTGGAGGACGGGAGGGTCAGGGGAGACATGATAACGACATACAAAATACTGCGTGGAATAGATAAGGTGGACAGATACAGGATGTTCCAGAGATGGGACACAGAAACAACGGGTCACAATTTGAAGTTGAAGATTCAGATGAGTCACAGGGATGTTAGGTTCTCGGAACCATTCATCTACATTGTTAGGAAGTATTTCTTCAGCCACAGAGTTGCTAGGAAGTGGAATAGTCTGGCAAGCGATGTAGTGGAGGCAGGAACCGTACATAGTTTTAAGACGAGGTATGATAAAGCTCATGGAGAAGGGAGAGGGAGGACCCAGTAGCGGTCAGTGAAGAGGCGGGGCCAGGAGCTGAGTCTCGACCCCTGCAACCACAAATAGGTGAGTACAAATAGGTTAGTACACACACACAAAAATTAAGTGGTTATGCGTTATGTACAGTGGGCAAAGACAGGGTATTTTTCCAGAATGGTTGGTAATATACCACTGTGGATAAAATACTTTGACATTTCTTGAATATTTCTGAGTGAGTTGTCTCTGAATAACTTTATCGCATTCCATTACATAATGACGCAAGGTGTGACAATTGTGTGTAAACCCCAACATGAAGAAAAATTGGGTCTAAACCTCTAATTAAACTGATTTTAAGGACCGAAGATTGTTCAGTTGCCTCCCAGCACACATAAGAGAGATTACCAATAGACCTCTGGCAGTCTTCAAGAGGGAGCTGGACAAACAAAGTCAGTATCTGACCAACCGGGCTGTAGTTCGTACGTTTGCGTGCGGCCAGCAGTAATAGCCTGGTTGATCAAGTTCTGATCCACCGCGAGGCCTGATCATGGACCGGGCCGCGGGGGCGTTGACCCCTGCAACACCATCCAGGTAGCCTGCTCCACCCTGGTGATACGCGGACGTCTCACTCTCCTGAACATCTGGATAAATTTCTCGTTTTCTCTCGGGGATGCTGGACACATTTAGGGAGGATCACTGTTCATCATATATTTCCCTCTGCGGATATTCAGTGATTTTGGTATCGACTAGACTCCTGCAATGGGGCTCCTGTTCCCTTAATGGGTCTCTGTTAGACCCCACTGAGCATTGTTCCAGTGGTGAAACAATGGGGCTTCTGTTCCCTTAATGGGTCTCTGTTAGACCCCACTGAGCATTGTTCCAGTGGTGAAACAATGGGGCTTCTGTTCCCTTAATGGGTCTCTGTTAGACCCCACTGAGCATTGTTCCAGTGGTGAAACAATGGGCTTCTGTTCCCTTAATGGGTCTCTGTTAGACCCCACTGAGCATTGTTCCAGTGGTGAAACAATGGGGCTTCTTTTTCCCTTAATGGGTCTCTGTTAGACCCCACTGAGCATTGTTCCAGTGGTGAAACAATGGGGCTTCTGTTTCCCTTAATGGGTCTCTGTTAGACCCCACTGAGCATTGTTCCAGTGGTGAAACAATGGGGCTTCTGTTCCCTTAATGGGTCTATGTTAGACCCCACTGAGCATTGTTCCAGTGGTGAAACAATGGGGCTTCTGTTCCCTTAATGGGTCTCTGTTAGACCCCACTGAGCATTGTTCCAGTGGTGAAACAATGGGGCTTCTGTTCCCTTAATGGGTCTCTGTTAGACCCCACTGAGCATTGTTCCAGTGGTGAAACAATGACCAGCGGGGTTGACAAAGAACCACTGGGACCTCTGTAATCTTTTTTATTTTTTTTTTTTTTTTTGCTCTACCTGTCAGAGGATGAGGTTGGAGTACACAATAAACTAGCTGCTCAGGCAAATAAGTTTATTTAGGCACAGGTACACATAGGTATAACTATCATACATGCTGTAAATTGCCTAGGATAACAAAAAAAAAATCGAAGTGACTTATTTCCACAACTAACTATTCTTTCGTCGCCCAACTTTGGTAATAAGTAACTTTTCCTTTTTTTTGGGGTTATTCTAGGTAATTCACACCATGTATGATAACTGTTAAAAAACGCCTTCTCACACATATGCTGCTATGTATGATAATGTATGTAACTGTATTTGTGTATACCTGAATAAACTTAATTAATTAATTAATTCTTGATATATGTAATCCTCAGAATAATTAAAACATTGTGTCTATACTATGTTAATATGCTATGTCTAGTAAGTATTAATTTTAGTCTGCCGGACTGTTCAACTGCCTCCCAGCACACATAAGGGGGATTACCAACAGACCCCTGGCAGTCTTCAAGCTGGCACTGGACAAGCACCTAAAGTCGGTTCCTGACCAGCCGGGCTGTGGCTCGTACGTTGGTTTGCGTGCAGCAACAGCCTGGTTGATCAGGCTCTGATCCACCAGGAGGCCTGGTCACAGACCGGGCCGCGGGGGCGTTGACCCCCGGAACTCTCTCCAGGTATGGTGGCTAAAGCTCCCGCTTCACACACGGAGGGCCCGGGTTCGATTCCCGACGGGTGGAAACATTTCGACGCGTTTCCTTACACCTGTTGTCCTGTTCACCTAGCAGCAACCTGGGTGTTAGTGGACTGGTGTGGGCCGCATCCTGGGGGACAAGATTAAGGACCCCAATGGAAATAAGTTAGACAGTCCTCGATGACGCACTGACTTTCTTGGGTTATCCTGGGTGGCTAACCCTCCGGGGTTAAAAATCCGAACGAAATCTTATCTTATCTCAGGCATGTTAGTGGCTTTCTTTGTACTTAACAGTATTTTATAATATGTAAATCAAACCATTGAAATATTATCTTCGCAACATCTCACAAAAAGGGTCCGGGGGTCGACCCCGACGGGGAAAAACTTAGGATGTTTTCCTTAAGACCCTGCTGTCCATGTTCACCTGTCAGTAAAATAGGTACCGGGTGTTAGGGGACGGGTGTGGGTCGCATCCTGGGGAAAAAAACTGACATAATTTGGGGAAAAATGCTAAAACATAACAAGTGGTTTTCTAATAGTAGTTTTCATTGATGTCAGCTAGATCTGTATCCTTGTACATTACTGTAGTAAATAAAGATATTTATTATTATTATTATTATTGTTATTATTAAAATTTTATTATAGGAGGGAAAGGGCCCGGGTAAAGTGAAGTCGTCAGGGGCCCTTTATAAACCTAACAAGTAAAGGGGGAAGAGGAAATATATCGTCAGTAAAAGGGTGTGTGTTGTTCGGGTAAAGGTTATGGCTTCCCCCGGGTTGTTGGTGTGAAGGTTGCTCTCCGTAACACGCACCAAGGATCCCGAGATCCGGTTTGCAACCTTCTTACACGGGGGAGTCCCCAGCCAGACAACGTCCTTTCCCCTACAAACTTCCTGAAAGAAAGTGAGTATTTGTCCCTTTAAACCCCCCCTATATGCCCCTTGGGGGTTTTACAGTTTGGGTTTGATTAAAATAATTGTCCCCATTACAGCCTGTTATGACCCTTGGGGGTTTCCCGTTTGGTTTTGATTATAATAAATTGTCCCATTACAGTGGGTTATGACCTTTGGGGTTTTTAGCTCTTGGTTTTGATTATAAAATAATTGTCACCATTAATAATACCCCTTCCCATACCACTTTCCTGATGGTGAAGGGCTTTGATCAAGGATCTGGGAGTATTCCTCATTCAAAATTTTCCTTACCCTCGACCCTCTTAACCTAGCAGAAAGGGATACCGGGGTGTTAGTCCCCTTCAAGACAGGCAAATTACAAACCCGAGAATACGAAAACTTTCCAACACGAAAGTGAGAAAAAGTCCCTAAATTACGGGGAACAGTTGAAACCCCTTGTTTGTACTCCGGAATGCAGGTGGAAAGATACAGATAATATACATTTGGGAAAATCCTGGAGGGACTATTCCAAAATGCAAAAAAAATTTACTCCTAATGAAAGCAAAATTAACAGATGCAACATTCCCCAGTAAAAGCAGGGGCACCACAAGTACACGGGAAGACAACACATAAGATTTGGGGGGGCCCAACAAGACGTTCAACTGCCCCCCAGCTACAAAAGGATATTACCTTAGACCCCGGGCTGTCTTGAAGAAGGCACTAAACAGGCCCCTAAAGCGACTTTGCCACCCAGTGGTTGGCTCGTTTGTTGGTTTACGAGCAGCCAGCAGTAACACCCGGGTTGATCGACCCTGTTCACCCCAGAGGGGGCCCACAGACAGGGCTGCAGGAGCATTGATTTTTTTTCATTGAGTCATTGAAAAAACTGTAACTTCTTAAAAAAGGGGGAAAAGATGTACTGTAGTAGAAGCAATACTTAGTTCTAGCTAAACAAGCAGAAAATCTTTTTAAAGGGCAGGACACAGAGATGAAAGGGAAATTTTGCGTAAATGTTTTTCCTATACCTAGGAATTAAACCCCAGCCCTTGGGTGATTTTTTTGTTTTGGGCCTTTAAAGTTTGCATTATTTTAGTATGTGCCTTTTTTTTTTGTTCTGTTCAGCTTTGTTTCTATTTTGTGTTATATATAACAATATTATTATTATTATTATTATGAGGGAGTGCTAAACTTGTAGGGATTATACATGGCCTGTGGGGGAGGGATGAAAGGTATTCAGACTCAACTTGGGAAACTGGAGCACAGATCCAATTCCCTAGATCAAGAGCCCCTCACCAGCATCAAGGAACCTCCCTTGAGGGGAACAATAAAAATAATAATAATCCTGTCGCTGGCATTTTTAAATTATTTTACCATTGTCATTCTTGAAAGATATAATTGGCTATATATAATTTGTTTGTCAATAAGAGATCTCTTTGTTGTGCTACATTATAACTTTGTTTTCAGTCGTGGTTCAAGAAGAAGGTCAAAAGGTAACAATAGAAGGAGTTTACAAAGACTCACCACGTATTCCTCTACTGGTTAAGACAGGTTATGAAGATTGTCAGTGTGCCCACTTTGTCTCTCCCCTAAACTTGAAACATACGAAGAATTTTTTGTTGCTCTTTTTTGAAAATGCTTTGATTTGATGCTGATGTTTACCATTAGATGACAAAAAGCACTCTTCAAATTTCAGTCAGTACCCCTAGGATATTTTACTATTTTGATTTTTCATGGAAAAAACCTTGAAAAAGGGGGCTTCCTGTGAAAAAAAAGTCAGTTTGCATTTTTTATGACCCCATTTCTTCTTGGCATTGAAAGTCAAAAATTTAAAAAAAACCCTAGAATTTTGTTGAAAACATCTCACTTAAATTTCCCATACACAACGTTCTTTTCTTTTACTTCTTTTTGTTTTTCAATTTTAATGGGAAAGAGAAATGCTTAAAAAACATATGGCCTTTTAAGCATAAGCCCAAATCGACAAAATTTTTTGATGGCCAATTTTTAGGGGTACAGCCAAGCTGATTTGTACAGTAGTATCTTGATTTCTCAAACCTCTATAAGAAAATTTAAGGGAGCTCATAATAGGTCCCAAAAAATGGGCCCATATGTTAGGTAGGAAGCCAGATTACAGATTACAGTAGTCAAAGTTGGGGTGATTGACAAAAAAATTTTTGTAATATATGAGGAAATGGGCCGAGAAATGCAATTTGATAAATTAGACGTTGTGCAAAACTTTGGGGTTTTTTACGAGGAAATGTTTCGCCCCATACGGCTGTCATTGCTATGTCTGACAGACTGACAGGATATCGAGAACCATGTGTGGGGAAAAATGTTTTTTTGAAGGGATACCCAAGTTTGCACATTTTAATTTATCATTAGATGTCATTCATGAGGGTGAGGTGGGAGTGCTGAACCTTTAGGATCACACAACTCCCAGGAAAAAAGGGGCAATTTTGTTCTATCCAAAACCTTCAATTTAAAACATCACGGCTCTTCAGGGGGTTTTGGAATTCACTATATACACTGTTATACATCTGGATTAAAAATTTGATTTTTCTTATTTACAAGAGAATTATTCCCGGGTATGTTTTGGATTAATTGATCACGAAAACGTAAGACACGATTTGCAGACAAACCCTACCACGGTGGGGGTTTAAACCCGGGTCAGTCGTGAAACTCCGACCGAGCCTACCACTGGGCCACTGGCAAATAAAAATTCATCGAACTAGGTAGTATATTTATGCACCATAGGAAGGTTTGCATAGCCACCATGTACCACAAAAGCAGGGTTTTTTCAGATGAATCTCCTGCCAGTGTGGCCAATGAATCCCAGCTCAAATCCCCTCAAAGCTGTCATCATACTCATGAAATTGTAATGTACGATTGCAAACAAGCCAACCCCGGGCCAGTGGCCAGTGGCAACGCGTCGGGCTGGATTATTATTACAGTGGAACCTCAAAAAACGAACTGCTCCCAACACGACCAATTAGTAAGTGCATTTTTTTTAATGCTTTTTTTAAGTTCTTTTTTTAATGTATTTTTGAAGGTCTAAATGGACAATCTAATTTACTTATTCCAAGGGAATAAATTAATTCGGTAAAGGCACTCGAACAGCCTTCTGGACCGAAGAAAGTTCGATATTTGAGGTTTCACTGATATTATAATCAAGGGGAGTGCTAAAAAACCCCTGGGTTTGCAGCGCCTGTGGGGGGTGTGAAAAGGTATTCAGGCTTGTTTGGGAAAATGGAGCACCGACCCCCAAAAATTCCTAGATTAAAAGCCCTCACCAAATCAAGGAACCTTTCTTGGGGGGCTCGGCCGGAGTTTCACGACTCTGACCGCAGGTTCAAGCCCCGCCCATGGTATGGTTTGGATTACATTGTATTTCACATTAAAGTACATAATGGGATAAAAGGGGTTTAAAAATATTACTAAAATTGTTGGGCAGTTTTTTACAATGAGAGATGAAAAAATTTATTTTTATAGGTTCACTGGGCCCTTTTTGAGTAGTAGACTCTGCCTGCCTCCTCCTATTCTCTCCTTTGGATATTTCTATGCATATTTTGTTTGCCAAGATATTTGTCAGGGGACCAAAAATCAACTCTGATTTTTTTTTTTGTACAGTTTTGTATGGCGTGGGGCCAAAAACACCACACACCAACATGCAAAGAAAAACTTTCAGTACTTAATTGCACAGTGTGCCCTGTTGGGGGGGGCACATGTTTGTGGGTGTGTTAAATTGTAATACGTACCTTTTAAAGTTTTTAAGATTTTTTCTACTCCTGAGCCCGGGTCTCTGGTGCTTGCCTGGTCAACCAGGCTTTGCGGCGAGGCCCCCTGCCCCACATATCCATCACAGCCTGGTTGATTGGCACCTGGTGAAATTACTTGTCCTTTTTCCCCTTGAAGGCTTCTAATTTTTCCGGGGCCCTGTTTTTGATATCTTCTGGTAAGATTTGAATTCTGGGGCCCCAGAGTTGATACAGTGTTCCCCCTTATTGTCCCCACCACACCCCCGCTCTTTTCTGGGGTTATTTTAAAAACCCTTTTTCCCATATGCTCACTCCAGTATGTTGTTATGGCAGTGTGCAGTTTGGCCAAGCCCCCCCCCCCCCCCCCCGATACCTTTCCCGGTATACTTTATCATGTACCCCTCTCCCTCCGTTCCCAGGAGTTTTTATACAAAGGTGTGGGCCCGGGGGTTTTGTCTATGTCTGTAGAGGGTAGAAACAGCAGAGGTGCCAGGGCAATGCCTTTGGGGCATTGAGCTTTTGACCTCACTGATCTGGCTCTTGCCCTTTTATACTACTATTTGTGTTCTGCAATTTGGGAAACCCAAAATCCACTGCCTACCCTTCCCCTTAAAACCCATGGCCCTTTATTTTGTGCGCTATCATCCATGATCGCATTTGTCAAAACCCTTTCAAATCTGTGTAAAATTACATTACTTTTGGGGCTTCCAATGCCCTGTAATTCTGTCCCTAATGGTTCAGCAGCTGTACAGATGATCGTCCTTTCTAAAAACCAAAGCTGGTTGGGTTTGTTGGCCTGAAAATTTTTAATCTCCGTCTCATCACTCTTTTTGAAGTTTTTTTGATTGTAGCTTTACTCGCGAAATCGGGGGGTTTTACCCCGTCCCTGGGATTTTTTTTTTTTTATATTGGTAGGTCAGTTTATTAACTAAAAATTTGGTAATTATGTTTTTAAAGTGATGTCACCGTGGGTTGTTTGATATTTTATAGATGGGTTTTAAGAAAAAGTAAATGCAGGGGCTTGCAAGAGGCGTGGGGTTAAAAGATAAAAAAATCACACATAAAGTGGGGGGTCGTCACAGTTGCCTTTGCTGAGACACTGTCTCCTTTGGGGGGGTTCTGAAGGAAATTCAGAGATTGGTGGGTAATTTGGGAGGGGTGCAAAGAAAAAATTGAAAGTGAATACAGAAAGAGAAGGTTTTTTTGGATAACAAAAGATTAGGTAGAAAGATTGGATATCAGATTGGAGGGAGAAGAGGGGAGGTGAAGTATTTAGAATTTGGAGTGGGGCTGTCAGCGGATGGGGCTATGAAAGATGAGGAAAACAAGAATTGTGGGGGAAAAGGGTGATGGGGCACTTTGGAGTCTCTGGGACAAAGAACTTTGTCCTTAGGCAAAGAGGGGGGAAGTATGAGAGTATAGTTTTTACCAACGCTCTTATATGGGTGTGAAGCATGGGTGATGAATGTTGCAGCGAGGAGAAGGCTGGAGGCAGTGGAGATGTCATGTCTGAGAGCAAGTGTGGTGTGAATATAATGCAGAGAAATTCGTAGTTTGGAAGTTAGGAGGAGGTGCGGGATTACCAAAACTGTTGTACAGAGGGCTGAGGAAGGGTTGTTGAGGTGGTTCGGACATGTGGAGAGAATGGAGCGAAACAGAATAACTTCAAGAGTGTATCAGTCTGTAGTGGAAGGAAGGCGGGTAGGGTCGGCCTAGGAAAGGTTGGAGGAGGGGGTAAAGGAGGTTTTGTGTGCGAGGGGCTTGGACTTCCAGCAGGCATGCGTGAGCGTGTTTGATAGGAGTGAATGGAGACAAATGGTTTTTAATACTTGACGTGCTGTTGGAGTGTGAGCAAAGTAACATTTATGAAGGGGTTCAGGGAAACCGGCAGGCTGGACTTGAGTCCTGGAGATGGGAAGTACAGTGCCTGCACTCTGAAGGAGGGGTGTTAATGTTGCAGTTTAAAAACTGTAGTGTAAAGCACCCTTCTGGCAAGACAGTGATGGAGTGAATGACGGTGAAAGTTTTTCTTTTTCGGGCCACCCTGCCTTGGTGGGAATCGGCCAGTGTGATAATAAATAAATAAAATGTTTCAAAGTTTTCCATGGTGGCCAGAACTTATGGTGACCCATTGTGTTTTGTAAGATGGCTAAGAATGTGCACTTTATTAAATTTTTTTTTTAGGACGTGCTGATCCTTTCCCAGTTTATGCGTGCAGATGGCTGTTTGTTGCCTAAACGTGTCACAGGGCTCTGTTCAACACAACAGCGAAGGCTCACACTTCTAGTGAGAATGTCACAGAAAGCTGGTAAGGAGATAGTTGTCAGTACCATATATTATTATCATCATCATAATTAGGCAGTCGGTACTGTTTAGTATTCAGCACTTCATTCCAGGAATTCTCATAATCACATAATCCAGGAATTTTCATAATCACAAAACCCCACAAACAGAAATGTTTGTGGGGTTTTGTGGCTTTACAGTTTACATGCATACATAAACTACATTATAAATGATGAGAAAAGTTGCAATAACTGAAAGTATGTGTTTTGCATGTGAAACATTATTATAATACAAAAAAAAGAAGTGCTAAACCTGCAAGGGTCATTACAGCGCAGCAGGGCAGGGAAGGGTGCAGGGGTATTCAGTAGCAAGAGAGGGATTATTATTAGATCGTGCAGTGTAGAGGGTAGAAAGTTCTGTGGAGAGTGCTAGGGGCACCATCAAAGTTTGTGCAGTAAATCAGTTGGTCAAAAAGTCAACGAGAGAGTCTGGGTTAAGGAGGGTCAGTCGGCAAGAAGGGAAAATAAAGTAAGGGCATTAGAGCGGTAACAATGTTGGAGGTAAATTCTGTGTGCTTATTGATAGAGTGGGCAGGCCAACAGAATATAGCTAACAGGAACTGGAACCTGACAATTCTCAGAGTGGAAAAGGGGGCCTCTCCATGAGGCACCCACGAGTAAGAAGAGTATGGCCATTGCGAAGATGTGAGAGTGTAGTCTCCCAACCTCGACAACAAGATGGCCAGTGCATGTGAAAGAGGCTTTATCAAGTCAGTGAATCATACCTGGGATTACCATGTTATTAGGTATAGGTATAAGTAGAAGAGATGTAAATTATAGTCAGGGGCTGTGACGAGTAGTAGCATTACTAACGCCAGTAGTAGTGGTATTATCAGTATGCCAATGGAACTGGTATGGTGATACTGACAAGTTGTAGGGAAGACACGCTGATCAAGATATTTCCTTGGTAAATATCTAAAAAAGTGCGTGTTATACACACTATAGTATACTTTTTTGACCAACTGTATTACCAAGAATGTGACCAACTGAAAGCTTTCTTAAGTCAGTAATTGTTGGGGGTTGTAATGAGTGCAGTTTGGGAACATTCTATTATGTCACCTTTTTATGACTAATTTGGCATCACACCATCTTGTCAGAGGGTTGTTATTTACTACGCTGGATGCGTATGTCATTCAAATTATTGGTTTGGGTCAGTTACTAGTTTTCATTGATAAAAATAGGTAAAAGTGCCAAGAATTTAACTATGTATATATACATTTTGCTACAACTTCAGTATTCATTGTCTGGTTGTGATTGGTGAGCCACTTTGTTGTCTGTGACTTGTAATATTTTTTTTAAAAGAATGTTGAATGTTAGTATAATATGCACCTAAGACAATATTGTATATTTCTACCTCTTGATACTCTTCACTGTGACACAACATTACTTATCTTACCTTGCTTTAGTGTGCAATTTGTGCCACTGACAAATGTTTAGTTCTGCTTTGAAAATTTTGTCATTGCAGGTTTGATGCCAAATTTGGCACCATCACCCAGCAAGAGGGATCCCACAAAACGGTATGGATCAAAAAAATACAACAGATACTTCGATGAAGCTACTCTTGATGTCAAACCTAAACGTAGATTCCGCCGCTAATGTTTTGCCCTTAATGGAACTATTTTAGTGGTATATACTGTATTGTATATAATGTCTAAGTGGTATATTTAAATAAATGCCGCTTAAATTAGTTTATATTGCATCATTATAATCAAGCACTAAACCACCTAGGGTTAGAATTTTACAGGCCAAGTGCCATTATCTTGCTTCAGATAATTTCCAAGCCTATCCGTTTTAAAATTGTTGTACACTTAATATTTTGTATAGCACAAAACCCATTACTATATTATGCCATCAAGGAAGGTGCCTTTACCATTGAATTATAATTATGGGGGTGCACCAAACCCATAGATTATACAGCAAGTGGGGGGGGGGGGAAGGGAAAGGAAATTCGGGGAAACAGCAGATCCGTTCCTTTGTCAAGAGCCCCCTCACCGTATAAAGGGAAACCCCCCTTTGAGGGGCTTGCCATTAAAAGGTCTTAAAGAATTTGGATTTTCCCTTAAAACCCTTGGCTCAAACCTGATTGCCTCCATTTCTTCAGGTAATGTATGCCCCTTAGGGTTAGCATGCCCCTGAATTTTATCACAATAGGTAAGTGTTAACCGGGGGGTCATACAGCCTTGGGTAGGGGAAGCAATCAGGTTTTGACCCAAAGGAGGGTAGTTTAATTTCTTTAATAAAGGGCCCCTCACTAATAGTGATCTTTTATGAAATCCCAATGTTAAAATGCCCAATTCATTGTAAAATTTCTTAAAATTATAAGAATGTAAATGGGGGCCAATGTCCTCTCCCCCTGTGGGAAATGGTTTACTATTATAAGCACAAAAAAAATTTACGGGGGTTGTTAATGAAAATCAGTGATCAAATGCCCCATTCATCACAAAAGCACCGGATTAAAACCCATTAAAATGGATTTATCATTGAAACTTTGTAAACAACTTACCCGTTGTATCAAAATTTTGTTGGGCCCGAGCGTCTATTTTTAAAAAGGTTCTATGTACTTTTCCTCTTAAGGGGGGCTCCTTGGCGGGGTGAAGAGGCTTTGTTGAAATTGACCTATCGGTCTTCTTCCTCAGCCAAACCCTAATTCCCCCCAATCTCCCCCCCCCTATCCCCCCCCCCCCCTTTTTTTCCTTTCCCCCCTCCTCCCCCCCCTCCCTTTTTTCCCCTTCCCTCTTTTGCCCTTTGGTTTTCTCCAAGGCGCATATTCCCCTGGGGGGGAAAGGTTTTCCGGGGTCCTTTTCCCATTCCGTTGAGGGTTCTTGGGGGGGATAGTTTGCCGTGGAATCGGATCGCCTGGGGTGTCCGTCCTCCCCGGTACCCCGGAGTAGCTTTGGGTGTCTTTCGGGCGGAGTGTATCTTGGAAGCCAAACCTTTCGGATTTCCGGGGTGGTGCCGAAGGGGGTAGCTTTGGGGGCGGATATCCGGCCGCCCTTCTTTTGCCCCACCGGGTTTAGCTCGGCAGTGTGGGTTGCTACCCCGGATTTTAGTTTCTAGCATGAGGGAGGGTATGGCGGGGGGTTCCATGCTGCATTGCGTACTTGCGGTGCTGAGGTCCTTTTTGGGCGCAGGGGGATTTTTTGGCCTTTCATTCCCCCTGGGAACTACCCCTCCCGGTCCCCCTTTTTTTATTCTTTTTTTTTTTTATTTTTTCTTTTTTTTTTTTTCTTAAAAACAAAAGAAAGAAGACCAACCATGGCGCCCTAGTCCATGAACCTGGTACCCCGGGGGGGCCCCCCTTCTTGATACCGCACCCGTTCTGACCCCCCCCTTCTTTGGCCCACTCTTCAGACATTCCATCCCTCTGTACCTATTGCCGGTGTGTTTCCTCACCCGTTCAGGTACGAGGCCTCGATGACTCCTTCGTTATCGGACCTTTGCTCTCCTTGACTTGCTTCCGGCCTCTCCCTCTAGGGTGCGGCAATTTTCAAATCGCTGACCCGTTCCACGTGGAACAACTCTGGTCCCACCCCAAAACGCCAAGGGGCAATTCCGGGATGATACTTCTCCACCTTCTCGTTCTTCTCAAACGATCGACACGCCCTTCACTACTTTCCCACGTCATTTCAGACTGAAAAAAGGGACTAAATTTCTTCACTTTAGCCCAACTTCCTCTACTGCCTATTTTTCTGCCATTGTTTGGAAAGGGCATCCTACGCCTGTTGGTCAAGATTTTTCTTTTCATGCTTTAAGAGCGTACGCGCACATTCCTTTTCAGAATGTCCCCAGGTTGAGTCTTCGTTTTTTTCCCTTTTCGATTTTTCCCGCACTCTTGAAAAAATCTGCCCTAATTTTTGTATGGTACCTTTCTTCTGCCCCATCCAAGTTCAACAAAATTTCCCCAGACATGGGGGCACTGACATTCTTGAACAGCTAAAACTCCAAGATCCCCCAAAACCCTCAAGGTAGACACTTCTTCTTCCTCCCCCGGGGGCGGAGAAAACCCCTACAATGGGGGTCATTAAAACTTTTGACGCAAATCCACCCTCATTTTTTATAGCAGGCAGGGTTACAAGTTCAAAGGTGACCCCTAACCACAACATGTAGAAATTGCTGGCATTTCCCATCCAGCAAAATATTGCAGATCATCCCCAAAATGCCCGTTGTGGTGCGATGACCTTCAAATAGTCTTGCAATCGATCTCCTCTTCCTTTTAACTGCATGAGGTCCCCTTCGTACTCTCCCGTTGTCGGGGCTATTTAAACGGCGGGAAATCCTTACTCAAAAGGAAGGTTCCCTTATGTGGCAGTTTCTCATCCCCGCCCCCAGGGGACCCCCACGGTTTCTTTTTCGTGTTTAAAAAGCCCCCCCCCCACTTCTGGTATCCCTCTTTACACCCCCCTCTGGGGTTTTCTCCATAATCACCCTGTTTTAACCCTTTTTGCGCCCCTCGGCTCAGACGTCACTACTTTTAACCCCCTAGCTAATCTCCTTTTTCAATTTCTCTCTCAAAAGCCCAGTATCGAAGACCCTACGACACCTCCCCAATGCCCTCACTTCTAAAAGTAAAAAAGGCCCGTTAAACCTCCCCCCATCTTCCCCCCTCATTTTACCCCCCCTGTCTTGCCCCTGGTTCTTCCCCTCTCACTGGCTCACAAGTGTAGAGGTTCACCCTCCCCCTGTACTGTCCTTCCCCCCCTGTTCCCCCCCAAGTTTTTTCCCTCTTCTCCACCCCGGTTCCTCCCTTTTCTGTCCCCTACCACGCTTCTCATTTCCCCTCCCCCTTTCCCCCCCCCCCCCCCCCCTCCCTTGGTACAGCCCCAATACATTTCCCAATCTTACTCATCCTCCCCCTACCATTCCCATATTTTCCCCCCCCATACTCTTGAATTTAAAAATTTTTTGAAGCAACTCTAAATATTTGCAGGACCAAACCGGCAAGACATGATCCCCCTTTCCGCTCTTTCTCTCTCCTTGCTCCATCTGGGAACTCCTTTTTTTCACAGCGCACCGTTCCTTCGTGCTTAACGTTTTTTCCCCTGCCCCCGCATGTGCTTTTAAACCCCTTTTAGTCCGAGGAACCCCTTAAAACCCGCGGATTTCAAGTATCTTTTTCATTGCCAAACATGGCCTATTACAGGGAAAATTTTGCGGCCTCAGGGGTAATCGGGGGGAGGTTCAGATGTTACTCTCCCCGTTTTCCCCTGTTTTGGGGTTTGCTTACAGGGAAAAAAATTAACTCTGCTGTTTTTCAAAATCTCAGGCTATAATTTTTGTATTCTTCAGATCCTTTTCCCGATGGGACCTTTAATGAAAGTGCCCTTCTTTCCGCATGATATTCCATACCATCAGCTATTTGTTCATACTTTGCTGCATTCCAGCAGCCCCACCACTTAATAGGTGGTATACGCTTGTTTTTATATCTCTCTCTTTCTCGGGCATTACATTCGGATTTTTCCTTTCCCTTTTTTGTTTACCGCCCCGATTTGTTTCTTGGTGATTTTAAAGCCCCCCCATTTCCTCTGGGGGGGTTCACTGTGATTCCCGTGGAATTCAGTTAGAGGCTTTTTTCCACCCCCCTCCAGTTTTAAAAACGTACTACACCCCTTTTGATCCTCGGGTCTACTCTCTCTTTCTCGATCTCTCAGTTGCTCTTCCTCCCCCCGCATTAGACTTCCTTGGTCTTTTCCCGGGGCTTAATGACGTGATCATTTCCCAATCATTTACTTCCCTTCATATTCGCCCCTCTTTGCACCCCCCCTGGCAATTTAATCGGGCAAATTGGAAACCTTTACTACACTAACCCTTTTTAAAGAGGTCCTTCTTCGTCCATCGATGAGCTTTTTTCACCTTTCCCGTCCTCCCGTTTTTACCCAGCTTTTCCCTTTTATACCCCCAAAAATTTGGGGGGCATTCTCAAAAATGCGTGCCTTGGTGGTCTCCTGTTGTGCCGTGGGTAATTTGAAACGCCTGCATGGGGCAGGTACCGGGACAATAGAACCACAAGCGACTCCTTTATTTTAAAAAAAGAAGGTGCGATGCTCCCGTGTCTCTGTGATGCAAAAACACTTGCTGGGGAGATAAAGTTCCACCCCACCCTGCTTCCTCTATGAGTGCAGTTGGAAAAAAGTACGAAAACTGAGTGGTAAAATTCCCTACCCGGCTCCTGTTTTGCGGGTTGCCCGGTGTTAAAGCAAACCCATAGATGTTGCCAAGAAATTGGCAATCATCTGGGTTTTCCCATTCCAGGGGCTCCCTTTTCCCCCCATTTCTTTCCCCAAAGTCTGCCCGAGAGTTGCACCCCTTTGGGACTTTTTTTCTCTCAGAGAAGAAAATTTTAAAAGTGCCTTTTACACTTCAAGAACTGGGGGCAAAACTCTCAGTTGTCGTCATCGGGAGCTGGGCCCCAGACATTCTTTCGATCCCACAACTTTACATCAGCAGCCCTTTCGTTTTTACGCCTTTAAAATTTATTTGGTCCCAAAGGGGTTCTTCCAAGCTGTGGAATCCGCCTTGTTTCCTTTCCGCAAACCAGGGAAGGGACATGAAACCCAAAAAATCGTCCCCTTGCTTTACCAGTGCAGTTTTTCAAAGTAATGGGAAAGGCCCAGTAAATAGACGTTTATGTGGATTTAAGACAAACAGTCTTCCACTCTCAATATGGTTTTTTGTAAGGGACGTTTTTTCCAAGACCCCTTATATGCTTGGATTGTTGTTCGTAATGCCTTTGCGAATAACCACCCTGTTAAGCCATATTTTTTGACCCCTTTAGAAGGGTATGACAACTTGGAGGTATAATATTTTAGCCCCAAACCCCTTCCCTTTGGCCTTTAGGCAATTACCATCCCTTTCCTTTAAGAAATTTTTAAATGACACGCATTTCCCTGTTCGGGTTTAAAAAATGTGCTCTCCCCCCGGGTTTTTCCAAATGAAGGTGTCCCCCCCGGGATGTGTTCCCCAGCACAAAACTTTCTCCTTGCTATTAAAATTTTGGCCCCCTATTTTCCACAAATATTTGGGCATACTATGTTGTTGACTTCGCTATTGCCTGTGCAGGCGCGCTGTCCCTCATTACAGTTTCTCTCCCAAAATGCAGTCGACCGTTTTCCAATTGGGGCCCCCCCAGTGGGTTTAAAAATTTTCCAGCACAAAAACCCCCAAACACTTTCACTAGACGCTCTGTCATCTCCCATCATCCTTTTTTTACCCCTATGGCTCCCCTATCCCTGAAAGTGATACAGTCAAGTTTTGGGGCCCCCTCTTTTATCGTAGTTATCCTGGAAAACCCACAATTTCCTCTTGAAAGGCAATTGTCCAGCCGGTGAAACCTTTTTAAAACCCTTGTCACTTTTATGGGGAGTGATGTCGAAAAAACCTTTGCCCAATTCCCCCCTTATTTTACGAAAAATTGATATGGGACCGATTATTCAGCGGCATCTCCTGTACTCTCTCTAGCCTTAACCCATTCATCACAAGGATTGTTTATGCCTTGGTGCTTTTTGTTTCCCCTTCGGAGCCCCTTTAGAAAGGGAAAAATTTCCACCTTATCCCATCGCCGTGATGCCCCTTGCCCCGGGTACTATGTAGCTTTTCATGATTCCCAATCCTTCCCTTTTTAGGAAAGGTCACTGATATTATTGAATTTTTATTTGTTCGCCCCCCTGTTACTCCCTCCCCCTTTTCTCTTCGTTCATTCCTTTTTCTTTCTTCAACTACCACCTTTTAGTACATGTAGCACCACTTTTCCCACCCCCTGGGAAGTTCCGCTGTTCGGTCTGTTTTTTTCTCCCTCCCCTTTCTCGAAAACCAAAGTTACAGTCGTTCCCCTCTTTTTTCTTGACCACTTTCACCCATTTCATGCCCTTGCTGTGTACCAGATGGCTCTAATTTCTGCGGAGGGTTCGCAGCGTGTTTTTCCCGGGCGCGTCGTAAAGGGCATTTACTATCTTTGGCTAGTTTTTTTACTGCTGATTTTGCCCTCCTTACAGCCCCTTATTGTATTGCATCTTGCCTGTGTCATCTTTGTGATTGTCTTTAGACTCCCTTAGGCTTTACAGGCTTTTTACAAAAATTTGATACACCTACCCCTTTTTCCTCCGTATCCAATTTGGCTACGCCGCTTTTATAAATAAAATGTTTTTTTTGGGTCCCCTGGTCAGTTGACGTACAGGGCAATGAACAGGCAGACACTGTGCGCGGTCAGCAGTACAAAGACCTCCATTTTTATAGAGGGGATTCCCTTTACGGACTTTTTACTGCAAAAATCTTCCCCCTTTCCAACCCTTGGAAAACGTTGGTTTTACTATGCTCGGCAAAAAAAACTCAATTTTTAAACCGAGTATAGGTTACTGGCCCTCTTCTTTCACCCGTGTCGAGGTTGGGAACTACTCTCTCCCCTCTTCGTTTTGGCCCTACCGTCTTTCTCATGGTATCTCATGGAGAGGAGTCTTGCTCCTCTCTGTGAGAATTGCCAAGCTCCATTATCAGTCAGCCACATTCTGTTGGACTGCCCACTTTATCAACGAGCACGCAGAATTTACCTATGTCGTCTTCGCTCCGCTGCTCTCTCTTTACCTTCCCTTCTCGCTGATGGACCCACCTTTCATCCGGACTCTGACTTTTTGACAACAACTGACTTGCTTCACAAATTCTGATACCTTCAGCCCTTTCTACTTCAATCTCTTGCTACCTTCTACACCCGTACTATCCCCTGCCCCGCTGTTTTCTGTAACCTGCTGATCATCCCCCCTCCCTTCTGCCATCCAATTCCCTTGCTTCCTTCCCTACCCTGCAGCGCTGTATAGCCCTTGTGGCTTAGCGCTTCTTTTTGATTATAATAATAATCTACTGTACTTTTTATGAAGAAATTTGTGGTCAGGAACAGAAAAAAAAACACTTACAGTTGGGTGATTTATTGATTATATGAACAACAAAGGAACCACTGATTATTTCTCCCAGTACAATCAAAGTAAATCTTCATACAAAATCAATGACTGAAATGGTGAATGACTATCAGTGTCCACGTCAACCTGTTAATTCTAAAAACCCCAATAAAGTGATAATCATGATAAAATGAATACTATACTGGGAATCTACAAGGATTCAAAAAACATACATGGAATGAATATCAACTCGTTTTTTGTCAATTTTTTTATTTTCCATTTTTTTTTTTACATTTTGTTTTTGATATACTGTACGTGTCTTACTAGCAGCAGAAGCCAGAGGTCACTGTGGAGCTGGATAGAAAAACTTTATCCAGGAGTAAATGGCATAATGCCTAGTCAGTACCTAACAATATCAAGTCTAACCATAGATTAATCAATTTGCTTACAGATGTGGTTAAAAAAAAAAAAAAAAAAAAAAAAAACTGATTACATACCAAAATATATTGAAAATTTCAAAACAATCTTTGGTCCACAGGTAATGATAGAATTACACAAAAAAAATATTCATAAAAATTCAAAATTTACAAGGCAAAAAACCTGAACTACAGTCTAATCAACATGATTTGAGCCTCTGATACCATTTATACAGATTATCTGTAAGTGTTGCATAGGATAATTCATTGTGTGGCAACACTGTACAAGACTCAATTGTGAAAACTATGCAGGTGCATCACTCCTGTATCTGCCACACAGCTACCTCTATCCCACTCCACAACAATAAAAGACAACCTGGGGAAACAAAATACTTCGGCCAACCAGGTTACACAAGCAGAATTATGAACATCAATATTGTAAAGCCAAAGAAAAATAGAGTAACAGATTTTCCTAACTACATGTAACCTGGTTTAACCCAAGCATAATACAGAACCATCAACCTGTGAAGATACTACTCGATCTCATAGAGCATGTAGAAGTGATCATTGTTGGTGGGTGCTAGTGGGTGACCGGGTGGTATGGCCACAAAACCGAGGAACATGAAGGTGCGGATCAGCATAGCTGTGGAAAAATGCCTTCAATTATACCATCTGAATATTAGAATGTAAAACATACAAATGGCTGGCCTGACTGCTTTTACCTATACAGCATATTTTAATATAAAAAATTTAAATAGGTCCATATTAAGACTAACCTAGAAACTACAGTTGTAATAAGCAAGATTTTATAATGGAAAGACTGGATAATTTCAGTGCTGTATAACCCTTGGGGGTTTACCACTTTAGTTTTGATTGTAATCACTGAGGATAATGTGATTAGTAATTAAAGAAAAAATAAGTCATCATTATAAAATCAACATTTAGGGTGTCAGAAGGGTTAGAGTTTGCCCGAATGATATTTCAAATTCAGTAAGTTGCTTTCTGCTATACTCTGCTACCCGAGAATGCCGATACGAAGATTGAGTTGTACACGTGTTAGCCTGATATTCCTATTGAAAGTTCTTCTGCTATGAGGAACAGTAGTCATAATTGGAATGCTTCTAAACACTGCTGATGTGATTCTCTTCAATGATGCCAAAGTTCAGGCTATTCCTAGTCCATAAGCTGTGTTCTCCCATGCACCACACAAGTGCTTTTGTTGATGCAGCAGGCATACTCATGTTTAGCACATCTTTAGGACTCTCCCACTTTCTCCTATGTATACTTTGTCACAAGATGATACATACACCAAGACTTTATACACTGTACATCAGGCCCATACTGGAGTACGCAGCACCAGTTTGGAACCCACATCTGGTCAAACACGTCAAGAAATTAGAGAAAGTGCAAAGGTTTGCAGCAAGGCTGGTTCCAGAGCTAAGGGGAATGTCCTTTGAAGAAAGGTTAAGGGAAATCGGTCTGACGACACTGGAGGATAGGAGGGTCAGGGGAGATATGAAAATACTGCGTGGAACAGACAAGGTGGACAGAGACAGGATGTTCCAGAGATGGGACACAGAAACAAGGGGTCACAATTGGAAGCTGAAGACTCAGATGAGTCAAAGGGATGTTAGGAAATATTTCTTTTGCCAGAGTTGTTAGGAAGTGGAATAATTTGGCAAGCGATGTAGTGGAGGCAGGAACCCATACATAGTTTTAAGATGAGGTATGATAAAGCTCAGGGAGAGGGAGGACCCAGTGGCGTCAGTGAAGAGGCGGGACCAGGAGCCGAGTCTCAACCCCTGCAACCACAATTAGGCGAGTACACCTGCAGAATGTTAAATTTTGTAATAGTCACAGCATCCATTTAGCCTTGTCCCTCGTGCCTACATACTTGAAGAGAAACATCAGGCTAACACCTGTAGAATTCCAATCTTATTAACATTCCCAGATAATACAGCACTGAAGAAGGCCTACTGGCCCTTCCACATATTAAGGCACCAGCCACTTCACAGTCACCCGATGCATTACCCGCTTCACCAGGTGCCAGATCAACCACGCTGTGATGGATACGTGGGGCAACCGGCCTCCAACAGCAACAGCCTGATTGACCAGGCAAGCACCAGACGATCCTGGCCCATGGCCAGACTCCGATAGTGAAACTCTTTAAACTCTACTAAGGTAAAGGCAAGGTATATCCCCACTATACATATAAACATGTTTTACGTTCAATTCACTTTATAAAGTTCACTAAATGTGAACAAAATGCCTTTTACTATAAATAAAGGTTCCGTTTTCTCAAGTCTATCACTATATACTTGTCAGCTGTTGCCAAAATTTCACATTTGAAATGCTCACAATCTGTCTTAAAATAAGCCATCAACTACTACATTGTAAGGTTACTAGTTTAAAGTTACACAATTATAAATGGTATACCAAGTTGTATTAGGTAATGGGCACTTAATGTAAGTACACACTTCACTGACTGATATTTACAAAGTACCAGTGCAGTAAGATTATTCATTGCTTTTAAGGAAAGGTTGTTCATTGTTAACAGACTGTCTTATCAAATTTCAGCTAACAATTTGCCAGATCCATTAAGAGCAGTTCCACCCATATTCATGGGTTGCTGAAAGTCATTAGGCTACAATTCAACAAATTAGGACAAAATGATGGGGAGGGGGATAATGGTTTCTTGAAAAAGTTGCTGGGTTCCTATTTAAGCACTTAAGGCATTCAACCTCACTGCTAGTGGCCTGGCATTAGGGAAAAGGCCTTCTGTATATTTACCAGTACAGTGGACCCCCGCATAACGATTACCTCCGAATGCGACCAATTATGTAAGTGTATTTATGTAAGTGCGTTTGTACGTGTATGTTTGGGGGTCTGAAATGGACTAATCTACTTCACAATATTCCTTATGGGAACAAATTCGGTCAGTACTGGCACCTGAACATACTTCTGGAGTGAAAAAATATCGTTAACCAGGGGTCCACTGTATTACTGCTCTGGCAAATTTCACTACAGTAGTAATATGCCTATGATGTGGTCTTTGGGTACTCTAACTTCAAAGAGCATTTATGTTCACAATTTTTAATAATAATATAAAAATGGGGGCACGATACTGTGGCTGGAACAATATGCAAATAACCTGCACACAGGAGAGAAAAAGCTTTTAACACTTTGGTCCAATTTGGACCATTCACAAGTCACAATTACAGAAGAGAATGAGTGAGCTAGTATATATAGGCGAAGGGGTACAGGGACAGGAGAAAGAAGAAATATGTAGTAGTAGTAGTGGTGGTGGTGGTAGAGGTAATGCTGGTGGTAGAGGTAATGCTGGTGGTAGAGGTAATGCTGGGAGTGGTGGTGGTAGCAGTAGTGCCACTACTACTACTACCAGCATTACCTCTACCATTACTACTTTTTCTTCCTCTTTCGTCCGTCCCCCCCTGCCTATATATACTGACTCGTTCATTCTCTTCTGTCAGTGTGACTTGTGAATGGTCAGTCAGACCAAAATGTAGTCATTAGCTTTTCTATGTGCGGGTTGTGTATCTTTATGAGAGAAAAATCCTGATTTTTGTATTGCCATCAAGATATATTACAAATAAAATTACCAAACATACCTCGATCACTGCGATCCTTCTTGAAGCAAATGAGCACATGTGAGCACCCAAGGACTTCCTCAGCATACTCCAAGAGTGACACAAATGCTTCTTTGCTACCCTCTGGCAGATGCAAGATGGACAGGTAAAGTCGGCGGCCAACTACAACAGTCTCCCATAGCACCGTCGTTTGTTCAGCCAACTGAAATTCAAAACTCAGGCGGACACAACCACTCTGAGCTGCAGACACCACTTCAGTACCCTGAAAGTATTTGAACACTTATATGTACATTGAAATTTTATTGATGCCAGTTGCCTACTCAGATCCAAGTTCAAGCACAGTGCCCTCAAATATGCTGTGAACAGTAAATTTTGACCTAGACAAAAAAATGGGTCTGGGAAGCAAGAGTGAAAAAAAAAAAAAACCTTCCCCATGCAATGATTGACAGGAAAGGCAAACCTTATGCGTGAATTTGAGGCTTTTTCTAAGATGAATTTTATGGTTTTACTGGCTGTTTCTTGATATCACTGATAGAATGGAAACAGATTTGTGTGATGACTGATTCAAAATGAAGGGCAAGTGTAATATGGAAGAAGCCTGTTTGCTTTAGTGGCTAGAATACATACAGTATTTATTTTAGACTTTTAAATTGGAATTTAGTTTTTTTTCTGAAATTGGCCAAATTACTTAACTCTTGTTCTTTATAGGGTAGTTCCAACATTTGACTGGGTGGTTTCTTGTGCTCAATAGAAAGGAAGGCATACTAGCACAACTGCTAATTTGATTGAACTGAGCAATGGAACCGATTTAAAATAAAACAAGGTGGGCAAAAATCACCAAAGCATAAGCTGCACCAAGAGTTAACGTTATGCAATTTGCAAATTTTACATCAAACTTCACATTTTTGGCGTTATGACCTACAGAAAAAGATTCTCTAACAATTCAGAAGCTAATTTTTTGTTTTTAATTGTGACATTGTCACAATTTCAGGGGTCATGACAGTTAAAGGGTTAAGTAGCAGTAGATATATTTCACCTTGTGTGGTAATAAATTTCTAGTGATCAAGTCTTTATGAACCAGCGATGTATAGCCCTTGTGGCTTAGCGCTTCTTTTTTATTATAATAATTTATATTAGAGGCTTTTATTTCTGTTAATGGCTCAGGAGATTATACCAAATGTTGAAGACAGACTTATGGAAATTATCCAGCAAAATAAAACCTAAAAAAATTAATTAAAAAAGTACATAACTGAAAATTAATAGAGATAACCGAAACTTACCGACACAGGTTTACAACGAGTGCCGGCCACAGGGGGCTCTGAAGGTTTCCCCACGCCGCTGCCCTCTGCACTAGTAGACACATAGGCGGCATGGGGGGCATCAAACCCACCACCGAGGCCCTGCGCCCAGGTGAACTGAGAAGTGGCGCATTCCACTCATACTACTGGAGTCGGTACTGAAAAATGGTCATAATTCATAAAGCACTAGGACCATTTAGCTATACTATTGTACTTTCAATAAAATACGCTGCTACAGTAACACTAACTCTTATAGTTACTAATTTAGTCTTTACAGATATGATAATCAGAATGAGAAAGGATTAAACATTAGCTCCAAGCCAAACTACTATATTTTCCAAAATAGGCTATAAATCACAGCTAATTTTGACATTTCCCATGGGAGTGGGGGAGGGGATGTTCCTACACTAGCCAGTCGAACCCCACTACGCATACGTGATTATCCAGTTCGGGGGGTTTCATGCCACAGCACAATGTAACAACTGAAAATTATTTATAGACCAGAAGGCTTTATCAGTTTAATAAATCATACCAAGTAGTGGCACAATTTATAGCCAGAAGAGAGGAACATGTTTATGTGTTAGCACGAGAAATTCAGCAAATATTAGAAGCATTGCAGTAGTCCTACTGGTACACGTCTGGTAAATCTTGAGACATTGGCATGTCGACTTGTGCAGGCAATAGTGGTGGTAACGATAGTAGCACTAGCAATGATAGCAGTAGTAATAGCAATACTAACAGCAATAATGAATAAAGGAAAAAGTGAGATCAGGCACCGAAGGATACTTATGAACAAAATATTCAAATATTAGGACTGACCTAATAGTTAAAGTCACTGGAAAACCATATGAACAAATTGCGATACCTTCATGCTACACTAGTTAATTATATAAAATTAATTTCAAATGTATGGATGGAAACATTGCTAAAATGCAGCGTTAGAGGTTAGAAAAGGGCCAAGAGTTGAGGAAAGGCTGAACAACATTGGTAATGCCCACATTAGCTGATGAAATGAGAAATTATAACCACAGGTTATAAAAGAGCAGGAATAGATAAGGAAAACTTCTTTGTACTTTAAGATGGGATAAGAAGGCCAGCTGGAAATGAGGAACGTGGAGCCGAAGGCATAATAGAAAATTCAGAGTGGTTTACCAATGGAATGATTTAAAATGGTAGTAAATGCTACAAAGATAGCAATATATAAAAAAAATTACTGAAGACGAGACATGAGCATAGCTCTGCTCCTGTAGCTACAAACGGGTACTTACAATTATGCAATTACACACACATGCGCAAACATCTACAAACATTTACTTCACGTCATATTTAAAAAAAAAAATGACTAAAATGCCAGTTTCTTGAGCAGAGATACCCACCTCCCTCCCCCTAAGAAGTTATCTAGCACAATACCAGTGGATTTCAGTATTTTGAGAATCTCTTCCCTCCCCCAACCTAAAATGCAAAGTTCCACGGTTTCTCATTTTATCTTTTTAACGCATTACGTCTCTCTTGTATTAGTAGTTGGGTTACAATCCTTTGTAGACATACTGGAAAGCAAATAAATAAAAAAAATTCATACTTCTGGCAGCAGGGTAACTACGCGAACATAAATGACCGTTAAATTCTCACCCGGGATTTCCCGGGTGAGAAAGGATTGGTCACTGACCAGAGTCCATCAGTCGCCATGAAGATGTTTGACAAGTATAGGAGATTGATGGCCAGAAATCAAGCTTACGTGACTCCTCTAAACCACAAGAATAACAAAAAATGCAGTAGGCTTATTGGCCCATACTAGTCAGTGTTCCGTAGCTCATTCCTAGAACTCGGTTCACACAGAGGTCAGGGGATCGATCCCCGGTACGGGTGGAAATATTAAGACGTGTTTTCTTAAAGGCACCTTCTGTCCATGTTCACCTATCTGTAAAACAGATACCTGGGCGTTACTAGACTAGTGTCATCCTGGGGACAAAATTTACCTAATCTGCCAGATGCTCTGCGTAACAAAAGCTTTCTATATAGTAGGTCATTGATATCGGCTAGGTCTGTATACCTTGTACATGTACTTGTAGAAATAAACATTATTAACTCGTACCCATTCACATACCCATCCAACCTACTATATTTAAAACTGACCAAAATTCTTCCCTCAACGACAACCTAAAAATCTGTTCCAATCATACACAACTATTGTCAAACCAGAACATTCCTATACCCATTCTAAATCTAAATTTCTCCAGCTTTAATTCATTGCCGTGAGTCGTAATATTTTCAACACGCTATTTATATTCCCTTCCCTTTTATTTCTATTCGTACACTACAAACGTTTCTAATTGTTGTGTATCGTGTGTATGTGTGAGTATGTGTGTATGCTGTGGGTCTCGTGTGTACGTGTGTGTATGTGTGTCTGTGTGGTGTATGTGATCTGTGTATGTTGTCATATATACATTTTTTTACATATATACTTATTTATATATACATATTAAAATAGTTATACTATATACATATATTATATACATATATACATATATTATTAATATATACATATTTCGATACATATATCCATATTATATACATATTTACATATATATATATACTTTACATATATAACTATACTTATACTACATATATATAAACAATATACATATATATACATTATATATTCATTATACATATATATACTATACATATATTTACATATACAATTAACACTATATACATTTATACATATATATATATACATATTACAACATATATACATATAAATACATATACACTTATATACATACATATATTTACAATATATATATACATCATTACACATATATATACATATTTACACAACACACACGAACCAGGATTTTCTGGTTTACTGCACTCGTACGGACTACAGTAGTACTCCTGAAGCTATGAAATCCTAGTTTGTTGTTAAATTACCTTGCCACATGAGGACAGAGTCTCCCCCCCCCCCCCGTAAAACATTGTAACTTTTAATTATCTGCCGAATATGCCAGCCAAATTTCGATTTTTGGAATTATAGATTGACACTAAAACCAGTTTTTAGGTTTTTTCTAGTCTTACGATCCGTCTGAGGTCCGAATTCTTGTTGACTGAGTGATAACCAGGTTGTTGATAACTGCCCACAAACCATCACAACCTGGCACTTGTTTTTAAAAATCATCCTCATCTCTAAAAATAATATCTACCTTAGTTTTTTTTTTTACTTCCGGCAATCTGATATGTACGCCGGTAGAAGATTGTAGTCTTTGAACCACAGATGCCTCTAGACTAACAGTACACTGTATCACCAGAGCAATATAAGACTCTAATCATTAACGATTTACCATTCTCCACTTCACGTGCAAATATATAACAGCCGTGGGTAGTGACAACTACATGGGCAGTGAGGAGACTGGCCAGCAGGGATGCCCAGGCACGGGTATATTATCCTCCGCGTCAGGTAGTGCCAAAACCTTGCCCTCGCCTACATAATAAAGATAAAAAGGAGCATACAAACTGACCCAAGGCCCATAAGCAAACCCTACTCACACACACCTAAAAAATTCCTATTTGCCTCCATCAAAAATCGTTCCTAAAACTTCCCAATTTATTTCAATGGTACCCACTTGGCTGTTTCTAATTATTGGGCCAACGCACGATACTAATTGTTGCTGCTCGCTTGCCGAAAATAGACAACAATGAATACAATTTATGGAACATCTGGATTAAATTCTTTATATATAAACCCTCTTATATCAATGATACAGGATTCGTAACTACACTCTGCGGCCGATCTTCAAACAATGATGTGATATTCACGTATTGCTTAACAGCAAAATGAACGGCAGACTTGAGATTCTGTAGTGCTGGGTCAATTGGGGATCCATGCTGTCTTATTTTGTTTACTAAAACTAATAGCACACCTTCCACATCACCCACCATTCTTGTTTCTTGTTTATTCTTCCTCATTTTTTTTTTTTCAGCGATATGTTCATTGCGTTTTATTTTCAGTACATTACTCTGGCATTCTTTGAAATAAGATTAAGCATTATATTAAAGTGCTCTAAAAGCTAAGTGATGGACTAAATTCACATTTAAAAATTATAGGAAAACTGGGACTGTTACCGTATGTGCACAAAATGACCTAGTGTCACTTTGAGCTAATACTGACTAGCTTTAAAAATAGGTTTTAGGAGTGGGAATAATTGGGTGTGTAACAGCTCCGCCTTGCCAATGGCAAAACGATGTACAAAAAAACGCTAAGTAGATGATCTAAGACTGGTTGGGGTAAACTCCCCACAATAAGATACCAAGTGTTGCACACCAAGCCTTATTTACCTATTACGAGTTTGTAGGGCATACCTTATTACATGAAAGATTAATTTTTATTTAGGAAGGAATTAATGCAAATGGTCACGCGTTTGCAATAATACTGGAGTCTGGGATGTATGCCAATTAATGAATCCTGTAGCACAAGGACTACAAAGATTTAGGAATTTTTATTTATAATTAAGATACAACAAATCATATAAAACAAATTTTATTTTTGTTTTTTTTTTATACAGAGTGCTCTGTCGGCAAGACTAATCCACGGTCAGGGACGCGCCACGCAGGCTGTCTTGTTTCTCTGAAACGAATCTGCTAATTTCATTATTTCTGCAACATTGACAGCTCCTGATGTGTTTTGATTGAAACACTGGACATTAAAAATTGTTTGGTACAGTGGTTTAGGGTTGTGTTTGTGAATTTTTCGCTCTTCCCACAAGGCAGCTAAAAAAAACAGGTCAATCCCAGTCTAGCCAACCAGTTTGTTATTTGAGATTTATATATATTACATAAATAGGGTGGTTTTAAGAAAGTATTTCCCATACTGAGTAAGGTGGCTTGCTACATTTGTATGTATGTGTATAGTATGTGTGTGTATGTGTATGTGTTGTGTGGTAGGTGATGTTGTGTGTGTATGTCGTATGTGTGTGTGGGTGCTGGTGTGGTGTGTGTGTGTAGTGTATGTGTGTGTGTGTGTTGTGGTATGGGTAGTGTAGTGTGTGTGATATGTGTGTCGTGTGTGTGTCGTTGTGTTGGGGGTGTGTTAGGTGTTGTGTTTGTGTATGTGTGTGTATGTGTATGTATGGTGTATGTGT